CCGCGGGGGCGAGGGCGGTGAGGTGTGAGCGGTTCCACAGGCCTGTCTGTCCGCAGAGCCGGGGGCGGTGAGGTGTGAGCGGTTCCACAGGCCTCCGTCTGTCCGCGGGGCCGGGGGCGGTGAGGTGTGAGCGGTTCCACAGGCCTCTGGAGCCGGTGGCAGATGAGCACTGCACAGGCAGCCTTTGAAGGCTGTGGCGGACACATGCCGGCAGACAAGCCTCTGCTGGTGGTGGAGCCAGGAGGAGCAGGAGTAAAAGTGGCGAGTCTTTGGAAGCGTGTTGAGCAGCTCTGCTTTGCGTGGAGCCCAGGGTTTGTTGATGAGTGGTGGGGCTGAAGCTAGACGGGTGGTTGACATCCTGTTACAGAGTACCTTGGAGACCAGGGTGAAACTTGAGGCCCACTTGGAAAGCTGTGGTAGGGGCCACATGGTAAGCATTGACCTTCGGGTGATACAGCTGCTAGTAAGGTATAGGAGTATCTGAAACGGGAGATGACAGAGATGGAGATTTGCTCCTGTGTCAGGTGATGAGGGGGAAGGCATGAAAACGGAAAGAAGGTTCTGGTGGAAGGAGGGTGCCATCCACTGTGATGGTGTAGTCTTGGAGATGACAACTGTGGGGAACCAGCAAAAAGTGGAAGATGCCTGCTCTTTCAAGCTTGAGTTGAGGGGAGAATAGTGAGTAGTGCGTTTGAAAAAAATAAGCAAGTCCAGTCGAATGTGGAGTTTGTGGGTTTGTTTCTTAATCTTAAGAGGAGAGGATACTATGAAATTAATTTTAAACCTCCTGAGGGTGAAAGAAAGCGATTGAAAGCATAGAATCAATCAATAGCAGAGGTTGTAGGGAACGTGAAGATTTCCCAGTTGTAGAGACTGAGAGATTGGAGCCCGGGAATTGGATTGGCTGTTCTGTTCTGCGCTCAGCCCAGGGAGCAGTTGCCGCAGACCTGAATCAGGATTATCAAGGCTGCTTTGGGCCGAGCAGGGACTCTGGACAGAGCTAGATTGACAAAACTGCTGTGCACCTGTTTCTGTACATTTTTATGGGAACACAGGCACACCACTTGTTCACACATCATCTCTGGCTGCTTTTGCTCTACAGTGGCAGAGCTGAGTGGTTGGGACAGAAACTGTACAGCCCATCGGCCTAAACTATTTACTCTCTGGCCCTTTAAGAGAAAGATTTCCAGCCCCTGGTCTAGTTAGCCGAAATTGTCACTGAAGAAAACCAGTACATGCAAATGCTGTGAGTGCCTCAATGAGTACCTAGATTGTGTGCAGTGGGCTTCAGGGCAGTGAATCTCCCTAGGGCTGTGTCAAACAGAGTCCTAAAGGCTGCACCTAAAGCTACTCATAACAGACAAAGAACCATCTCCCTGAGCACATAACACATTTGGAATTGGGGTCACTTAATGATCTCAACAAGGCTTAGCTAAAAAAGCTAGAGCTAGAAATATGCACGTGGGATGTGTCTGTGTCGGGGTTTGAAGCTGTGAGTGAACATGAAAGAGTGTGTAGGCCAGGCATGGTGGCTCACTCCTGTAATCCCAACACTTTGGGAGGCCAAGGCGGGTGGATCACCTGAGGTCAGGAGTTTGAGACCAGCCTGGCCAACATGGTGAAACCCCATCTGTACTAAAAATAGAAAAATTAGCCTGGCGTGGTGGTGTGTGCCTATATTCCCAGCTACCGGAAAGGCTGATGCAGGAGAATTGCTTCAGCCAGGAGGCAGAGGTTGCAGTGAGCTGAGATTGTGCCACTGCACTCCAGCCTGGGCAACAGAGTGAGACTCCATCTCAAGAAAAAGAGAAAGAATCAGACCAAGTGCAGAAATCTGGAAAGGAGCATTTGTTGGCTCTAAGAGACAGATGCCCTAATGAAGGACAGACAGAGACCAAAAGCAGGCAGTGAAAGTGGTTTAGAGTCTAGTTCTTTTTTTTTTTTGAGTTGGAGTTTGCCTCTGTTGCCAGGCTGGAGTGCAGTGGCGTGATCTCGGCTCACTGCAACCTCCAACTCCCTGGTTCAAGCAATTCTCCTGCCTCAGCCTTGCCAGTAGCTGGGATTACAGGCACGCAGCACCACGCCCAGCTAATATTTGTTTTTTTGAGACGGAGTCTCATTTTGTTGGCCAGGCTGGAGTGCAGTGGCGTGATCTCAGCTCACTGCAAGCCCCACCTCCCGGGTTCACGCCATTCTCCTGCCTCAGCCTCCCGAGTAGCTGGGACTACAGGTGCCCGCCACCACGCCTGGCTAATTTTTTGTATTTTTAGTAGAGATGGGGTTTCACCGTGTTAGCCAGGATGGTCTCAATCTCCTGGACCTCGTGATCCGCCTGCCTTGGCCTCCCAAAGTACTGGGATTACAGGTGTGAGCCACCGCGCCCGGCCTAGAGTCTAATTTTTGTTTGATGTCTGAACCTTGAAGATTTTGGTTTTCTATCACATAATGAGGCAGAAGTCATACCTGATTTAACATGCTCAATGCATTTCCTTTAACAGTAAAGTGGTGTTCGCAGTTGAAAATAGAATCTTACACATGTTTTGTTTTTAAATTCAGATGATGGAGCAGTGGCATCACCTGACCTTGGGGACATGTCTCCTGAAGGGCCACAGCCCCCCATGATCCTCTTGCAGCAGCTGCTGGCCTCGGCCACCCAGCCGTCTCCTGTGAAGGCCATATTTGATAAACAGGAACTTGAGGTACAGCCAGGCAGCCTTGACAGTTTTTAATCCACAGTACTAAATTGTGAACAATTTTTTTCTAAATGTATACTTTCTTAAGGATCTATTCTGAATTTTAAATGATAGTATGCAAATAATTCTAATAATGCATTAGGTTTTAACCATGTTTGTGCATAGTCTGCAGAAAATTATAATACTAAAGACGGAGAGGGTTGAAGTTTAACCTTATTTTGGATTTGTGTAAATCATTAAAAAATATTAACTAGATGCAGCATGGGTTAAATGCTCACATCTTCATGAAGGGATCTTTTTCCAGGAAGTAGAGTTATTCAAAGAGGCTCATCAGGACTCTGGCACCCACTTGTTTGTTTCATTCACTCAGGAGGCTCTTTGGGTGTGCTCTGGTGCCGCCAGCCTCTCAGCTCTCCCCATGCTGTGGAGCAGGTGAGGGCAGTGGTGAGGCACACGGTCAGGGCTATAGGCTGTTCCCGCAGAAGAGGCCACGTGATTGAGTGTAAGAGGGATGGGAACTTTCATGGCTGGCAACATAGAGGATTAGAGATGTTCCAAAATCTTTCTTGCTGCGTAATACATTAAAAATCTGGGTAAAATATCAAAGACAAAAATAAAACTGTCAGTATTCAGTTTGGCTGTCAGAAATTACCCTAACAGAAACCCTCAGTGAGCAGGGCCCTTCTCGAAGCAAGGGTCCAGGTGAGGCAGCCTCTGCCTTGGGCAGGTGGAAGCCCTCCCCCAGTCCTAGAATGAGCTGGAAAGATGGTGGGGGGTGCAAAGGGAGAAAGCAAGAGACGAGTGTGGGCAGGAAGGGAGGAGGTTGGCCGTGAACTCTTCCGAACTCCAGCTGCTTCTCAGGTCTGGGAACCTCTGAGGTGAAGGTTCATTTCAAAGGGCCTGGTTGTGTTTCCAGCCTCCCTGGCAGAGATAAAGAGAAGACTTTATCTCAACTTGCTGAGCAAGTTGAGAGCACGTGGGGTGGTGCACAGCCTGTAGTCATGCTGGGAGATGCCGAATGTTAATACCTAGAAGGCCACGTAGAGTTGTCTTTCAGGAATTGCGAAGGACTGTTGTACCAAAACGAGACCTTCCGCTGTTTTGTCTCCATGGATTCCGATGGAAAGTCGTTGTTCTTATCTCTTCTTTTGTATGAAATGTCTTTTTTCTCTGGTTGCTTTTCGTATTTTCTGTTATCTTTGGTTTTCTGCAGTTTCACTGAGCTGGGCTCATGTATGCCGTGGTGGCCCACCCCACCCATCCCACCATCCTTGAAATTTGCTTAAGCTGCTTGCATCTTTGGCTTGATTTTTGTTCCCTTACCAAATTTGGAAACTTTTGACTATTGTTTTTTCCCCCATCTTGCTCCTTTTGTTCTTTTCTGGAAATACTCTTATACATCTGTTACACTGTTTGTGAGTTCCTTTAGGATTTTAATAGAAAGTCTTTTTTCTCATTGTTAGTAGGTTGGTTAGTTTCTCTTGATCTGTTTGAAAGGTCAAGATGCTTTGCTTTGTTGGGCCTAATCTGTTAAGTCCATCCAAGAAATACTTTATTTTATATTTCTCACATCTCTTATTTCCATTTGGCTCTCATTTAATAGTTTTATATCTCTTCTGACAGTTCCCATCGTCATCCCTTAAGTCTATCCTTTTTTTTATTAGACGGAGTCTCGCTCTGTCACCAGGCTGGAGTGCATTGGCATGATCTCGGCTCACTGCAACCTCTGACTTCTGGGTTCAAGTGATTTTCCTGCCTCAGCCTCCCGAGTAGCTGGGACTACAGGTGCCCGCTACCACACCCGGCTAATTTTTGTGTATTTAGTAGAGATAGGGTTTCACCATGTTAGCCAGGCAGGTCTTGAACTCTTGACCTCGTGATCCACCCACCTTGGCCTCCCAAAGTGCTGGGATTACAGGTGTGAGCCACCACGCCTGGCCAAATCTGTCTTTTACTATCCTTTTTTTTTTTTTTTTTTTTTTGAGACGGAGTCTCGCTCTGTTGCCCAGGCTGGAGTGCAGTGGCCAGATCTCAGCTCACTGCAAGCTCCGCCTCCCGGGTTCACGCCATTCTCCTGCCTCAGCCTCCCGAGTAGCTGGGACTACAGGCGCCTGCCACCTCGCCCGGCTAGTTTTTTGTATTTTTTTTTAGTAGAGATGGGGTTTCACCGTGTTAGCCAGGATGGTCTCGATCTCCTGACCTCGTGATCCGCCCGTCTTGGCCGCCCAAAGTGCTGGGATTATAGGCTTGAGCCACCGTGCTCCGCCTACTATACATTTTAAAACATATGATAGTTATGTTGAATTTCTTGCTTGCTAATTCTAATGTCTGCCCACCTGTTGGTGTGCTGCTCTTTGCAGTTTTTTTTTTCCTTGATTATAGTCAGTTTTTGGTGGTGGTTCTTCACATATGTGAGAATTTTGATTTCATTCTGGACTCTTTGGACATTACATTGTATTGACTCTGAGTTCCTCCTCTGGAGAACGGGGAGTTTTCTTCTCATAGGCAGTTCAGTACCTGGCACTCCTTGATCCTGAGGTGGCTTGGTGCTAGGGTTTGTGATAATTTTTTATATGCCCTTAGCCCTGGTTGTGAATCCTTAATTCTCAAGGATTTAGAATCTCTTCTGGGCTTCACTGGAAGCTCTGACATTCTCCTCCCTACCTCTAGTTGGTTGAGCTTGAGCCTCAGGTGCTGTCCTGGCCCTGGGCAGCCGGGGAGCCCCTGCAACCTTCCAGCAGTCCCTTTGTGCGGAGCCAGGCTCTTCAGAGGTGCTTCAGCTGAGATTCAGCTGTAGATAAGTGGGTAGTTCGTCCGAACATTTTGTGGTTTTCCCTCTGCGGTTTCTTTCTCAGGCAGGCTTTCCCTTGCATTCTGGTTGCTCTGGCAGGCGGGACCCCAGCCCCTGCAGTGCAGGAAGGTGCACTGTCTGTGGTTAAACGTGCATCTTGCCTGCAGGCTTCCCTGCGTCACGGGTTGTGCTCATTTTATTGCTGATTGCTTCAGCTATTCTCCGGTGCCCTCAAGCAGTTTTATAGAATATTTTATCCAGAGTTCATGATTATTATCAGCCAAGGGTTGGTCCAGTGCACCCTAACTCCCCATTATCAGAACCAGAACTCTTGGCTCAATCTGGCTCTGAATTTTAAGCTTTTAGCATGAAAACTATCACTTCCAAGTTACCCAGACTTCACTGCAGAACCCTAGTCTTTGATACTTCTGAGCACTGGGGGATTCCACAGTGTCCTCGGTTTCTTCCTGATTCCTTCCTCACATGGTCAGTTTAACAAAATAGCAAGTCAGTGCTATGAGAGCAGCTCGGGAGGGGGACCAGAGAGTTGCAGACAGATGAGGGAAGTGCTGTTTGCGTTGTCGGTGGGGAGTTCCCAGCTGCAGAGACGCAGTTTAGATGTTCACTGTTTCATTGCAGTGTGTTTCCCAACTAATACTCTTTTATTTCTCTTATTTGTAATACCTTGTTTAACCTCACTGTGGTTATTTAACCCTTGAATAGTTGGGGGTTGGTTTAATGGTACATGAGAGTCCTGTGTCATTTCTGGCCTGTCTAAAACACAGGTGCCTGTGGTCACCACCGTGCCCAGTTAAGGCGGGGGGAATGCCTTTCTCCCTGCTCCCACCTCAAGCCCCTGTGACTGCTCGCTTAGGGCTGTGATGACATTTTCCTTAATGGACATTGATACTTGGCTAATTTAGTAGGCTCTCTGTCTGCTGAAACAGGAAAGTTTTTTTACCACCAAGTATTTTCTCTGCATTAAACTGCGAAACTTGGCTTTGTCATTTTCTAACATGTTTTAGGAACTCACTGAAAAACGCACATGTGAATGTGGGCTTTCTAGACTTGCATACCGCAGTTCACAATAGAAGGCCATCACCCCGTGTTCCTAGACTGTGTAAGCTAGCCGAGGGCACTTCCCACACCTCCCAGGACCCTCTTGTCTGCCTAGGCTGCTGCACTGGCCGTGTGCCAGTGCTTGGCTGTGGAGTCCACTCACCCTTCGAGCCCAGGATTTGAAGACTGCAGCTCCAGTGAGGCCACCACGCCTGTCGCCGTGCAGCACATCCGCCCGGCCAGAGTGAAGAGGCGCAAGCAGTCTCCCGTTCCCGCCCTGCCCATTGTGGTGCAGCTCATGGAGATGGGATTTCCCAGAAGGAACATCGAGTTTGCGCTGAAGTCTCTCACCGGTGCTTCCGGGAATGCATCTGGCTTGCCTGGTACTTCATTTTCCTGGCCTCTGCTTGCGTGTGTGTGGGTTCCTGCTTCAGGGCTACTGGTTCACAGTAGCCTGTGGTGGACTGTGTGTGCTTCTCTTAGGTGTGGAAGCCTTGGTCGGGTGGCTGCTGGACCACTCCGACGTCCAGGTCACGGAGCTCTCGGATGCAGACACAGTGTCCGACGAGTATTCTGATGAGGAGGTGGTGGAGGACATGGACGATGCTGCCTACTCCATGGTCAGTGCCTCCTGTGTGACCGCCTGCACCTGGGCCGCTGTCTGTCTCGCGCTCTGACAGTCTTACACCTTGGCTTTCTCTGTCTCTTGAAAGAACTAACTGTACCTACTGTGGACTGTTTCATAAAACCAACTTATGGTATTGCCGGGCACAGGACAAAGCTGTGTTTCACTCTTGAAGACGTGATTGGGTTTCTATATCATAATTACTTTTAGCTTTAGAACAGACCCTTGTTCAAACATCTAATGATCTTCAGTAGCCATTAGAAGATATTTTATTAAAATACCATGTTTTGACACATCAGTTTCTGACCCGAGCAAATTGTTCATAGGATTAATTTGGAAGTGCCTTGGAAATTTTGTATACTTGTAGCTTTTGAGATCCATTTCTGCTTACTATGCTACTGCTATTAGTCTTTTTTTTTTTTTTTTTTGAGATGGAGTCTTGCTCTGTCACCCAGGCTGGAGTCCAGTGGCCAGATCTCGGCTCACTGCAAGCTCCGCCTCCCGGGTTCACGCCATTTTCTTGCCTCAGCCTCCCAAGTAGCTGGGACTACAGGTGCTCGCCACCTCGCCCGGCTAGTTTTTTGTATTTTTTTTAATAGAGACGGGGTTTCACCGTGTTTGCCAGGATGATCTTGATCTCCTGACCTCGTGATCCGCACGTCTCGGCCTCCCAAAGTGCTGGGATTACAGGCTTGAGCCACCGCGCCCGGCCTATTAGTCTTTTTTAAATGAATATCTTTATAGGGAAAATAAAGGATTTCATCCTCTACTTTTTAATATTTTAGATTTCACAGACTTATTTCTTTTTGAGTAGGTTTATCGAGTTGTCCTTTTTTTTTTTTCTTTGAATGTATTTATCTCTTGTAGTCTACTGGTGCTGTTGTGACGGAGAGCCAGACCTACAAAAAACGAGCTGATTTCTTGAGTAATGATGATTATGCTGTATATGTGAGAGAGAATATTCAGGTGAGTAATCGTCTTAAGCTGGAGCCTCGATCCGTTTTTCATTCAGCAGATATTTGAGTATGTCCTATATGCCAAGCATCAGTGGACAGAGGTCCCTGCCCTCAGGGAACTTGCTTTCTGGTGCTAGAAGACATACCTCACCAGTGAGCTCATGACAGGCTAGAAGGTGCTGTGTACCCTGGAATAAGAAAGAGCAGACCACAGTAAAGGGGTGGGAGTGGGGGCACATTGCAGGGATGGGGGGCTACAATGAGAAAGTGAGATGGGTGCAAAGCCTGCAGGGTGTGAAGGGTGGCTCAGCAGGATGGGTGGCACCCAGACAGAGGCTGCTGTGGCTGCCCCAGAGTAGTCAGAGTACAGAGGGGCAGATGATGGGCTCGGGGGAAGCCAGAGAGCACAAGTGGCCTGTCCACAGTGGACATGGCGCAGAGATGGCGGTTTTCTGCTAGCCCCGCTTGTGACACCTCCTACATACCTTTCCTTGTTTTTCTTATGTAATTCTCATTGCCATCAAACTTTAAAAATCTAATTATGTTTTATATAGTCTTTTATCTACTTTAAATCATTTCTTGTCCTAATTCTCTTGTTTTAGTATGTTTTAGAGAAAATCCCCCAAATCATCTCATTTCACCTGTATATATGTCAGTATGTATTCCTAATGAAGAATCTTAACATGATGACATTTCTGTTTACCAACATTACCTAACAAAAGAAATAATACTTCCTTAATATCATCTCATACCTAATGCTTGCTTGTAGTTTTCCAGTTTTCTCAGAAATGGCTTTAATGGTTAGTTTTTGAACTTGGATACAGCCAAGATTGTATGCCTTATCTGCATTTGGTTGGTGGATCTTTGAAGTCTATTTCAACCTAGAGTGGTTCCCCCTTGTCTTAGCTCAGTCTGCTGTAACACAGTACCGTAGACCTGGCGGCTTCAACAGCGGATACTTACTTTTCATGGTTCTGGAGGCTGGAAATCCAAGATCAAAGTGCCAGCTTGGCTGGTTTCTGGTGATGGCCCTCTTCCTGGCTTGTAGGTGGCTACCTTTTTTTTTTTTTTTTTTGAGATGGAGTCTTGCTCTGTCGCCCAGGCTAGAGTGCAGTGGTGCGATCTCCACTCACTGCAACCTCCGCCTCCCGCGTTCACGCCATTCTCCTGCCTCAGCCTCCCGAGTAGCACGCCCGGCTAATTTTTTTGTATTTTTAGAAGAGAAGGGATTTCACCGTGTTAGCCAGGATGGTCTTGATCTCCTGACCTTGTGATCCACCTGGTCAGGTGGCTGCCTTCTTGCTGTGTCCTCCTGTGGATGTGGGGCTGGGGATGTGGGGAGCTGGAGCTAACAGGGGAGGACTGGTGTCTGTTGTTTTTTTTTTTTTTTGAAATGAGGTATTGCTCTTGTTGCCTAGGCTGGAGCACAGTGACACGATCTTGGCTCACTGCAACCTCTGCCTCCTGGGTTCAAGCGATTCTCCTGCCTCAGCCTCCCGGGTAGCTGAGATTACAGACATGTACCACCACGCCTGGTTAATTTTATATTTTTAGTAGAGACGAGGTTTCTCCATGTTGGTCAGGCTGGTCTCGAACTCCTGACCTCAGGTTATCTGCCCGCCTTGGCCTCCCAAAGTGCTGGGATTACAGGCGTGAGCCACCGCGCCCGGCCTGGAGTCTCTTATAAAGACCCTAATCCTGTTGGGTCAGATCCCCACTCTTAGGACCTGATTTTACCTTAATGACCTCCTTAGAGGCCCTGTCTCCTAATACAGCCACATTAGGAGTTGGGACTTCATGAATTTTGTGGGGGACGCAAACATTCATTTCATAGTAACCCTCCTTCTCCCTTCCTCTCCTTTCATGCTGTTTATTTGTGGGTGAAACTATGTCTTCCGAATGTCTTATAGTCTGGATTGGGTGGGGGCTTCCTTGTGGTGTTGGCTAACATCTTCTTCTCTCCCTGTTTCTCCAATACAGTAGGAGTTAGGGTTGGAGGGTGGTTGGACCAGGCTGAATCTCAGGAAGCTTCATAGGCATGTACTCCCTCCTGCCCCTTCTCAACAGGCAAACAGGTTTGGGTGGGTGAGGTCTTGTCAGCCTGCTCCTTCCTTGATGACATTCTGTATTAATTGTCCATCTCATAGCTCCAGTAGGCATTAGTGTCATCACCTAGACCTATCATTAGGGGCTGCACCATAGTGATTTTCTAACTTCATCTTTTCTGAGTTCGTTAGCTGGAATTCTCTTCTGGGAAAAAAAGCTCTGTTATTAATCTTGGTTACTCTTGATAATACAGGGAGACTTTATCAGTTTTCAGAATGACGCATTGGTGTTCTGCTATGTATACAGATGACCAGCAAGCTTTGTTTTCCTTATTATCATGATGACCAATCCATTGGCTTTTAGAGAGTGATGTTTCCACTGTTACGTTTTTGATGATCAGAGGGTGGTTTTGAGTGAACCTGGTAATCTTTGAAAGCTCTCTTGCTTTATGATACAAGTTGATCCAGGCTTTTCCTATATATTTCCTGCCTGAGACACAAAGCCTGCCAGTGTTTTAAAGAGTTTCTGTTCACTTTAGCATTAAATAATACTTAAAACGCACTCTGGGTGCTAGATGAAATTCTTCTTTTTTTGGAGCTGGAATCTCACTTTGTCACTCAGGCTGCAGTACAGTGGTGTGCTCTTGGCTCATTGTAACCTCCACCTTCCAGGCTCAAGCAATCCTCTCAACTCAGTCTTACAAGTAGCTAGGACCACAGGCATGCGCCACCACGCCTGGCTAATTTTTGTAGTTTTGGTGGAGATGGCGTTTCACCATGTTGCCCAGGTTTGTCTCAAACTCCTGAGCTCAAGCGATCCTCCTGCCTCAGCCTCCCAAAGTGCTAGGATTACAGATGTGAGCCACCGTGCCCAATCAAAATTCTGTATTAATAATAGAGTAATACCACTTATCATGACTCATTTCACCTGTGTACAGATGGACTGGATGTCCAATTTCATTTTAATTCTAGGTGGGAATGATGGTTAGATGCTGCCGAGCGTATGAAGAAGTATGTGAAGGCGATGTTGGCAAAGTCATCAAGCTGGACAGAGATGGATTGCATGATCTCAATGTGCAGTGTGACTGGCAGCAGAAAGGGGGTACTTACTGGGTTAGGTACATTCATGTGGAACTTATAGGTGAGCACATTCTTTGTTCAGTACTTTTGCTTTTTCTTAGAGACAGAAGTCCCATAAATGAATGCTGATTATAATGATTTGTTCCTGCAATCTGTAGGCTATCCTCCACCAAGTTCTTCTTCTCACATCAAGATTGGCGATAAAGTGCGGGTCAAAGCCTCTGTGGCCACACCGAAATACAAGTGGGGATCTGTGACTCACCAGAGTGTGGGCGTTGTGAAAGGTAATATTATCTGGGTAATAAAACTCCTGATGTTAACTTTTCATTAACGCATGTGTACTCAGTATTTCTTTTTGTTTAAGCACACAAAAAAGAAAACAAGTGTGAAGAAAGAGAGAGAGTGTTTTTGCTTGTCAGTGCCTTCTGCCAAAGGCTACAGAGGAACTCACCTGCAGTGAAACAGTCAGATTTAGTAATATTAACTCATTGCAGTGCAGGAGAACACACACCTTGGGGAATGGGTGCCTCCATCAGAGGGGGTAAGCGAGGACTAGGGATGTTGATGTTGGGTATTTGGGGGAGGGGTTGAAGAAGCAGGGGTAATTCTAAGACAGGGCGTCTTAATAAATTTACCTAGCAGGCAGAAAGAATGGAGCCATGCTAAAGTCATGATTGGTAAGGAAGCAGTCCTTCATATCACCAGATAGGGGACTGTGTGGTGGTTTGTGGTTGTTTGTGGTTTGGATTAGAATCGACTTTAATCATACACGGTTAAGGAGGGGTTTTGGTTGTGCCTTGATCCATCAGTCACAGAGTGGCCTTATCTGATGCTGGTGTTCTGTAAACCTGTCCTGTCAGTTGTTTGTGAAATGGCCTAACGCTGACATTAACAGGCCAGCTCCTGACTGTCAGGACTGCTTTTCCTTTCTCCCCCGCTGACCAGGCTGGAGTGCAGTGGGGCCATCTCGGCTCACTGCAACCTCCGCCCCCAGGTTTAAGCAATTCTCCGGTCTCAGGCTCCAGAGTAGCTGGGATTACAGGTGCCCACCACCATGCCTGGCTAATTTTTGTATTTTTAGTAGAGACAGGGTTTCACCGTGTTGGCCAGGCTGGTCTCAAACTCCTTACCTATTGATCCGCCCATCTCAGTCTCCCAAAGTGTTGGGATTACAGGTGTGAGCCACCACGCCTGGCTCTCTTTTTCATGCTATATAAAAATTTAGGACTGAATTTAAGACATGGAGATGTGCTAATGATGGGAATTAGGAACTGGAAACAATTCTCAGATTATATTTAATATGATACTATTGAGATTCCAAATCAAATCCGTGGCACACTTTGAAAGGTATACTATGTCCGTTTTAACAGTTGCATGAGAAATAAGTATGTGTATAGTTTTATAAACTCTTGGTGCCATAAAGAGATTGTTCGTTTGAACCTTGTGGAAAGCTCTCTTTTCATCAAATCGCTTAGAAAATGGCCACAATTGGTGGTGGTTCCCCAGTGGTGAGAGGTTCTTAGAGCTTCTCATGTTACATAAGAACAAATGGATTATTTAATATTTTACTTTAAACATTGTTCTTTGCTTCAGAGATTGTTAAAGTATTTGCAAATCAAAACAAGACAAATTTTAAAAATAAGAATTTAGTTTCTTTGTTTTGAGTGACACATTGCTCTTATCAAAGGACAAAATAAGTCTCTATTAATGTGGTTTTTATTCCCTGAGATACTAAAGGTGGTATATGGAATTGTTGACTTGGTGGAATTAAAAACCAAAACGTCCTGTTTTAAACCTAATACAAAAGTAAAGAATGTAGTTTACAATGAACCTCCATGTGCTCATTACCTGGCTTTGACAATCGTCACCTCACGGCCAAAATTATTCATGCTCCCTTCTTGGGATTATTTTGAAACCAGTCGCTGACATCATGTATTATTTCATCCGTAAGTGTTTTAGTACCTATCTCTAAAAGATATGCTCTCTGTAAAAAACCAAATTACTACAATGTAGTGTGACATGGCTAGGTGCAGTTTCAGGTTCAGGTTTTTACTGGTGAAGAAGAAGATGGGTCAGGTGATTTCTGTTCTCTCCTAGCTTTCAGTGCCAATGGAAAAGATATCATTGTCGACTTTCCCCAGCAGTCTCACTGGACTGGGTTGCTGTCAGAAATGGAGTTGGTCCCCAGTATTCATCCTGGGGTTACGTGAGTTGTTTTTATGATTGCTAGATTTGCTTTGGGACGAATGGTTTTCTGTTGAATTAAGTTTAATAAATGACCTTTCTTAACTCCGTTGCTGTTTTACAAATAGGTGTGATGGATGTCAGATGTTTCCTATCAATGGATCCAGATTCAAATGCAGAAACTGTGATGACTTTGATTTTTGTGAAACGTGTTTCAAGACCAAAAAACACAATACCAGGCACACATTTGGCAGAATAAATGAACCAGGTATGGCAGAATGTTTATATTCTCTCTTCCACCGAATATTAATGAAGTTCTTACTGTGGACCACAGGGTATTGGAATTTGTTATTTTAAGGTTCCTGTGTATTCGGTGAACTCTGTACAGTGAGTACAGTGAAGCGGAAGTGACAGTCCTACCCCCTGATGACTGGCTGGCTTTTCAAAGAAAATCAAGACGGCGTATCGGGGAAGAAATAGAATAACTAGGCTTATTTGCTTGTATTTCCATTAAAAAATGTTAAAAGAATCTCAAGAAACTAGTCACTGTTTAGTTGCATGGCATGTGGAATTGGTTAGATGGAGAGTGAGTTTTTAAATTTATATACCTTTTATTATATTTTTCATTGTGGCAAAATATATATAACTTAAAATTAGCCATTTAAGCATTTTCGAAGTTTGTAATTCGGGGTATTAAGTACCTTAAGTACAGTGTTGCACAACCATCACAGCTGTCTATTACCAAAACTTTTCACCACTCCGATGAAAAACTCTGTACCCAGTAAGCAATTTAACTGCCCTACCTCCCCCTACCCCACCCCTGGTAACCTTGAATCTGACTTTGGTCTCTGTGAATATGACCACTGCAGACACCTCATCTAGACGGAACCATATAAGATTTATCCTTTTGGGTTTAGCCTAATGTCTTCAAGCTTCATCCATATTGTAGCATGTGTCAGAACGTTCTCCTTTTTAGTGGCTGAATAATATTCCACTGTATGCATATATCACTTTTTTTCTTTGTGAGACAGAGTCTCACTCTGTCACCCAGGCTGGAGTGCAGTGGCGTGATCCTGGCTCACTGTAACCACCACCTCCCGGGTTCAAGCGATTCTCCTGTCTCAGCCTCCTAAGTAGCTGGGATTACAGGCCTGTGCCACCAAGCTCAGCTAAGTTTTGTATTTTTTTTAAATTATTATGTTTTTGAGACAGAGTCTCACTCTGTCTATAAGGAGTGTATATGTTATATACATTTTTAGTTTTAGTAGTTACTCAAGATACAAATTATAACATCTATTTTTGACTCATTTAAATCTATTATTATTTAGTATATTCTCCTCCTAAACAATGCAGAGACCTTAGTTCTCTTTAACATCATTTATCTTCATTCTGATTTATATGTTCTTAACATATTTAACATTTTTTTCTTCTTTTTTTTGAGATGGAGTCTCACTCTGTTGCCCAGGCTGGAGTGCAGTGGCATGATCCTGGCTCGCTGCAACTGCCATCTCCCCGGTTCAAGCGATTCTCTTGCCTCAGCCTCCCAAGTAGCTGGGACTACAGGCTCCTGCCACCATGCCTGGCTAATTTTTATATTTTTAGTAGAGGTGAGATTTCACCGTGTTGGCCCGGCTGGTCTTGAACTCCTGACCTCATGTGATCCGCCCACCCACTTTGGCCTCCCAAAGTGCTGGGGTTACGTGCATGAGCCACCACATCCAGTTAAAATTTTACACATTTGATACAAATACACATCTAACAGAACTATGGAAGACATTCTTTTAGGCGCACAGAAAATGTTCATAAAATGTCAAAGGATTGGCTGGGCGCAGTGGCTCACGTCACCCAGGCTGGTGTGCAGTGCTGCAATCTCGGCTCACTGCAAGCTCCACCTCCCGGGTTCACGCCATTCTCCTGCCTCAGCCTCCCGAGTAGCTGGGACTACAGTACCCGCCACCACGCCTGGCTAATTTTTTGTATTTTTAGTAGAGACGGGGTTTCACCGTGTTAGCCAGGATGGTCTCGATCTCCCGACCTCATGACCCACTCCTGTAATCCCAGCACTTTGGGAGGCCGAGGCAGGCGGATCATGAGGTCCTGGCGTTAACCCGGGAGGCGGAGCTTGCAGTGAGCCGAGATCGCAACACTGCACGCCAGCCTGGGTGACAGAGGGAGACTCCATCTCAAAAAAAAATAAAAATTAAAACTAAAAAAGTCAAAGGATCGAACAATACATGCAGGGCATGTGATGATTTTTATGTAGTCAATATTCATTTAGATTTTTCTGCATACTTTGTAGTTTCTCTCCACTTTTTTCTTCCTCTTTAATTTTCCATCTATACTGTTTTTCTCCTGCCTGAAAATACCCCTTAATATTTTTAAAAATGTGTCTTTGTTGGTTACAAATTATGTATTTTTGTATGTCTGAAAATGTATTTCTTTATTATTGAAAAGTCTTTTTGCTAGGTGTTTTCTTTCAGCACTTTAAAAATACTATTCCACTGCAATTTGGTTAATATTGTTTCCCCTGAAGTTGGCTGGTAGTCTAATTGTGATTCATTAAAGTGCATCAATCTTTTGATTTTTCCTTCGTCTGCTTTTGAGAGGGTCTTTTTGTTTTCATCTTGCACAGGTTTTACATGTGCATGGAGATGTTTATCTTTCTTGAGGTTGGTGGGGCTTCTGGGGCATGACATCTTTTGTCTGTTTCGGAAAATTCTGTCTTTCAGTATTTCTTCACATGTTGCCTCTGCTCTATTCTCTTTTCTGTCTTTTTGCGGGGGGACTCTTCTTTCACTTGTGTTAGGCCTAACCTCTGTCCTGCAAATCTTTTACCTACATGTTATGTTTTCTAAACTTTTGCCCCTCAGTTCTTCATTCCAGATATTTTTACTTTCTCTTCAGCTGAGTTCAATGTGTTCTTAACTTACTCATTAAGTTCTTAATTTTAATTATTGGATTTATCAGTTCTAGTCTATTTTATTTTCAGTAGTTTTTGGTTCTGTGCTGAAATATTATCTTTTTGGACACAGTAAACATAGTTATTATATTAAAGTCTGTGTTTTCTAACTCCAATATATGGAGCCCTTGTGGGTCTGTTTCTATCCTATCATTTCTGGTAATTTTTAGTCACGTTTTCTTGCCTCTACATGTGTCATTATGCACTGCACATTGTATTTAAAAAATTATTTCTTGACTCCATTTGAGGCTAATGTTATTCTCCAAGGAATGGAGGAGAGAAGGTTGTTCTGTGAGATACTTGGTAAAGGTTAGTGACTATCTGGGCTCATCTTAATCAGCATTCATTGATCGAGGTGATTTTATGCGTGAGCTGCAATCTGTTGAGAGAAAAAAAGGGAAACCCAAAGACCCTTCATAGTTCACCCTGACTTTTGGGGTGTTTTCTGTTGGGGTTCCAAGGGTGAGTTGGATTTCTGTGGCATCCTCAGCCTTCCTGGTCTTTCTGGACCCCATTCCTTTCCCTTCTCTTCACGAAGCTATTGAAATGCGATGTGCCCCCTCAGGGACTTTGCTTGGAACCTGGGGATGCCATCAGGGAACAGCAGCCTCTGATCCATGGTGTGCGTCATCTTGACACCTCCATTTGCCTCGAGTCTTCCGGTGGTCCTGACCTTGTAATTCTTTATTATCTCATGAATTCTGATAGTCTGAAGAGGATTTATTTATTTTTGAGTGTTTTGTCTGGCTTTAGTAGTTGTCCTCGATGGGGAATGCCAGTTGAATTCCAAATTTGCCAACTAGTGAAAGTGGAAGCACTTTACAATTTACTTTTTGCCTTGTATTTATAAAAGCATTTTTAATAAGAATGGTTTTTGTGAGTGCTGTTATTGAACTTTTCCCACAGCTTATTTGTATCCTGTTTGTTTGGAAATATATTAATCTGCTGTTGTTTCCTGGGAGGTTTTAGTAGAATAAATCATACCATTATGTGGACTTCGTCTCATAAATTGGTGTAATATGTCTTGACTAGGGAAGCCATTTGTGGCATTTATTAGCTCCTTTCAGTTTGAAACTTTCTATTTTTCTTTTAGAAAGAAGCTCCTCACTATGTAATATTCTTGACCGCCTGATCATGATGTTTCTTTCTCCCCAGTTCAGCAAGGGTTAATTCTCTTTTTGACCATCATGAAATAGGTCAGTCTGCGGTATTTTGTGGCCGTTCTGGAAAACAGCTGAAGCGTTGCCACAGCAGCCAGCCAGGCATGCTGCTGGACAGCTGGTCCCGCATGGTGAAGAGCCTGAACGTGTCGTCCTCCGTGAACCAGGCATCCCGTCTCATTGACGGCAGCGAGCCCTGCTGGCAGTCATCAGGGTCGCAAGGAAAGGTAGCGTGTGATAGGGCACAGCAGCGGGCACTTTCACACGGGTGGTTTTGCCTTGTACATTTTCAAAATGAACTTTGAGCAGCCTGCAACGTTTTGCTGATAGCACCTGTCAGTACTCAGTTTATATTTTAATTTATAAGTTATTTCAAAATCACAGAGTTAAATACCATCCAAGTTTATTGTCAGAGGTTTTAAACAATATGAGTGGTAGATTTTATCTAACTGACTACTCGATAGAGGATGTGGTCGGGCTCTTTTTCCTCCTCTCCTGCATAAAATGTGTGAATTCAGATTTGCTTCTCGTTAGAAGTTTTTCCGGTATAGTCTAGCAAATTTGTGTTGCACATCGGAGTGCTGTTGTGATTACACCAACCCATGGGGGCCCCTCGTGGGCACACAGGTCAGACTTGAGGACAGGGCCTTTCTCCATCTCGACTCTAGTGTTTTCTGCCACTCACTTGGTGGGTAAAAGGACCACCCTAGGCCAGGGGTGTATAGATACATTGTTTCTGGGGCTTAGAGGGAGACTTTTCTCTAATGATCAAAGAATGAGGTAGAATATTGTTGCTGCTGCTAGGGTGAGGGAAAATTCTCTCTCATGCCACATTTTATATTGAAAAAGTCTCATGTAGATTCAAGCTTCAGTGATACTGTTGTAGTAGCTAAAATATAGCTGAATTTTGCTAACTGAGAATGTGATTTTTGTGTTTCTAAAGCACTGGATTCGTTTGGAGATTTTCCCAGATGTTCTTGTTCATAGGTTAAAAATGATCGTAGATCCTGCTGACAGTAGCTACATGCCGTCCCTGGTGGTAGTGTCAGGTAATTCAGTTAGTTTACCTAAAAAGAAGTACCTTCTATAATAAAAACGCCTTTGTTTGATTCTTTACCCATTTTTTCCTAGGTGGAAATTCCCTGAATAACCTTATTGAACTAAAGACAATCAATATTAACCCTTCTGACACCACAGTGCCCCTTCTGAATGACTGCACAGAGGTAAGTAGCTGTGGTAGTGTTCCATTTGGATGATTTGCAAGTGACAAGGGAGGTGACTTGGCCATTTCTGTGCTAGCATTGAGCCCAGTTTTCCCCCCTTTAAATAATTAGTTTTATCTGTTTTAAATTTTGACACTTTAAAAGATACAACTTATTTTACACAACTTGAATTTGCTGCTTATCAAATCAACTTGAAAAGGAAACAAAATAAATTTCATTCTCACTTTATTTGGTAGCAAAGGTATGCTTGGTAAGTGCTCCTAGCAAAAGTTGTCATCAGGCATTTCAGGTTGCTGTTTGCATCTGAACACTTTGGTTTTCATGAAAAATCTCTGAGTTTCTGGTGGTTTTCCTGACCACATGTGTGTTTTCATGAAAAATCTCTGAGTTCCTGGCGGTTTTCCTGACCACACGTGTGACGCTGAAGTTGTCATCAGGCATTTCAGGTTGCTGTTTGCATCTGAACACTTTGGTTTTCATGAAAAATCTCTGAGTTCCTGGCGGTTTTCCTGACCACACGTGTGTTTTCATGAAAAATCTCTGAGTTTCTGGCGGTTTTCCTGACCACACGTGTGTTTTCGTTGAAAAATCTCTGAGTTCCTGGCGGTTTTCCTGACCACACGTGTGTTTTCATGAAAAATCTCTGAGTTCCTGGCGGTTTTCCTGACCACACGTGTGACGCTGAAGCTGCTTTCTTGTCACACCGATTGGCATCAAGTGCTGAACTTGTCACGGAGTGGCAATTTTTTGGCAATAAGGCAACTTTCAAAATGAGTCTAAGTTTATCTCTGGAAAAGTTTGAAAGAATCAGTGAAGGTTCTTTTAAACAGTACCCACGTACTATAGATCAGCGATTCTCTCTCTCTCAAATTTTCAGTAAATCTTTCCACATACGACGTCAGCACGATTTTAATACATTGAATATATGTAAAATAAGACAAATTAAGACAGATTTTTGTACTACCTATACCGTTGTCTTGTGTAGACTAATTAGAATGATAGCAGATAAAAATATCGAGTAGTTGATTTTTGTATTCGTTTAAAGTTTATAACAGATGAGTTTATTTTTAAATTATTAAATGCAGCTAACTTCATTCTTTAAAAATTTTTATTTTAGTTTTAATTGACAAATAGTAATTTGTAATAATTTGTATATATTTTTGCAGAACACTGTGATGTTTTGTTACATGTATACTTTGTGGAATGATCAAATCATGCTAAATAATGTGTCCATCACCTCAAATATTTATCACTTTTTTGTGGTGAGAACATTTAAAATCTTTTAGCTATTTTGAAATATGTAGTACATTCACTATAGTCACCATTTATTCTGGAATGCCATTGAACTATTTTGTATTACACTGATTCATTATAGTCAATACCAGTGGTGCTAATAAGTGAAGAAATTGGCAAATTATAAAAATGAAAGATAATATTGAATTTTTCTGGAAAAATTAATCTTGAATTTTAATGCATTTTACTGGTAACTTATTACAGTGTAACCGAATACAGCCTGTAGAGTGCCTAAGTTACGTAGTTCAGAGTATATTTTTACTTTACCAAACCAACAACTAATTAATTAAATCAACAACTGAGATAATTCGTAAAAGATATGTTTGCTTTAATTCAAGAAATTTTCAATTCAAAACAATTTATCCTGTGATATTTAGTGTATGTCATGTACATGAGAAATAGGAAGCATTGTGAGTAAATGGAAAACTCCTGACCTAACCTGCATGTCCCCAACTGACCAAAGAACTAGAACATACCATTCCTGTGGGGCCAGTGAATGTTAAGCATGGCTCTTGCTGTACAAATAGTTTGTTATGGAATTTTCTTTTCTTTTTTTTGAGACTGAGTCTCACTCTGTCCCCCAGGCTGGAGTGCAGTGGCAGATCTCAGCTCTCCGCAACTTCTGCCTCCCAGGTTCAAGTAATTCTCCTGCCGCAGCCTCCCAAGTAGCTGGGATTACAGGTGCCCGCCACCTCACCTGGCTAATTTTTGTATTTTTAGTAGAGATGGAGTTTTGTCATGTTGGCCAGGCTGGTCTCAAACTCCTGACCTCAGGTGATCTGCCCACCTTGGCCTCCCAAAGTGCTGGGATTTACAAGCATGAGGCACCACATCCAGCCAGGAGTTTTCTAACATGTAAACAAAAATAGAAAGTATGCTGGAACCCCCACAAACTTGTGACCCAGCTTCAACATTTATCTACATTTTGCCAATCATGTTTCACTTCCTGCCTCCCACCTCACTTCCCTGCCTCAGCAAGATCTTATTTCAGGAGCACTTGCTTCAATATTCATCTCTAACAGGGTTTAACAAAATATAACCCTGATACCATTATCACACCTCTAATAATTACTTTTTTTTTTGAGACGGTGTCTCGCTCTGTCGCCCAGGCTGGAGTGCAGTGGTGTGATCTCAGCTCACTGCAAGCTCTGCCTCCCGGGTTCACGCCATTCTCCAGCCTCAGCCTCCCGAGTAGCTGGGACTATAGGTGCCCGCCACCATGCCCGGCTAATTTTGTTTTCATATTTTTAGTAGAGATGGGGTTTCACCGTGTTAGCCAGGATAGTCTTGGTCTCCTGATCTTGTGATCAGCCCGCCTCGGCCTCCCAAAGTGTGGGAGTTACAGGCGTGAGCCACCGCGCCTGGCCAACAATTACTCTTTAATGTCATATAATATCCAGTCAGTGTCGAGAGTTTCCTAGTTACCTTGTAAATGTCCTTTTGCAGTTGGTTTGTGTGAATCTTGATTCAGATGGTGTTTGCATTCTACACTACACTTTAGCCTCTCTTGGTTTTTTTCCTTGCTAAAGAAAAAAGAAACTGAGTAATTTTTTCCCGTAGCATTCTTTATATTCTCAGCTTGGCTTTTGCATCCCTGTGGTGGTAGTCAACCTGTATTTCCTATGAAATGGTAGATCTTGAGGTTTGATCAGGTCGTTTAGGCAATAAAAAGTAATTGTTAGTGTGCATTTCCAGACACATCCCTCTTTGTTCACATGAGATACAGGGATAGAGAAATGTTGTTAATACAACAGGCATGCATACCAGGGGAGAAGAATGTCTGCCACGTGGGGTGTGGGACATTTGCAGGACAAATAGACCAGCTCCACTAAATGCATGGCAAAGGCAGAACGGAGGAAGGTTGGGTCTTGCTTGTGTTCTGATTTGAATGAGGCAACAATAGAATGACATGAGATAATCAGAAAAGTTTAATGACTGTAGCATATTGGATGATATGGGAATTATTGTTTGTGCTATGATAATAACAATGTGGATATGTTTTTCAAAAAACTCCTTAATTCCGGCCGGGCGCGGTGGCTCATGCCTGTAATCCCAGCACTTTGGGAGGCTGAGGCAGGTGGATCACCTGAGGTCAGAAGTTCAAGACCAGCCTGGCCAACATGGTGAAACCCTGTCTCTACTGAAAATACAAAAAATTAGCCGGGTGTGGTGGTACGCGCCTATGGTCCCAGCTACTCAGGAGGCTGAGGTTGGAGAATTGCTTGAACCCAGGAGGCAGAGGTTGCAGTGAGCCAAGATTGCACCACTGCACTCCAGTCTGGGCAACAAGTCAGATTCCATCTCAAAAAAAAAAAACAAAAAGCAATAAACAGAAAACCCAAACCTCCTTAATTCAGTGATATATACTGACGTTTTGAAACAACATAATGCCTAGAATTTTTAAATGATAATCCACATCTGAACAAGATTGGTCACATGTTGGTAACTGTTAAGCTGGGTCATGGAGTCATGGAGTTCTTTGTACTATTTGTTCTAATTTGTGTATATTCAAATCTGTTTTATGTTTTAAAAAGGATGAAAGGTCTGTTGCTACCTGACATTTAATCTCTTCCTTAGTTAAGGCATCTTGGTTCAAGAAAGCTCTAAGACAGAAGAGTTTGCAGTCATTCAGTAAGGCTGTCATCCTATTTAAAACTTTTAGGAAGAAAATCAGTGAGTGTCTCACGCCTCAGGTAGACATCTCGATGAGTTGATCACTTCTTTTGAAGCAAACATTACTCAGATGTGGTTGCATTAACTTTGAATAACTCAGTTGGTATTTCCAGAACTGAAGTAAAGGAGCTCTAACTGTGTGTATATGTTGATGTCTCACACACCCGGCTCTCCAGTTAGAGGATCTAATATGCTTGATTCTACAAAGTCTGTAGATCATTGTTTTTGTGTCTAGTATCACAGGTATATTGAAATTGCCATAAAGCAGTGCAGGAGCTCAGGAATCGATTGTAAAATCCATGGTCTCATCCTGCTGGGACGGATCCGGGCAGAGGAGGAAGATTTGGCTGCAGTTCCTTTCTTAGCTTCAGATAACGAAGAGGAGGAGGATGAGAAAGGCAACAGCGGAAGGTGAGAGCCATTTATTACAAGTACTCACTTACCTCCGGCTGCATTCCTGGATCCTCACTTTCAAAAGGAAACGTTTAATTAGAATGTGTCTCATACTGAGTCATTTTATGTCCACAAGAATGGTAAATTACAGTTGTTTTCAAAAATTGTAGCTTTTTAAAATAAAGTGTTTAATGTGGAAACACATTATATTTAGAAAAATACCATTAAAAGAGGGAAGTGAAAATGTTTAATATCTCTACCTGAAATATCACTGTTACTACTTTGGTATATACCTTTGTAGTTTTCCTTTTTTTCTGTTACTAAATATATTTTCCTATGGAAGTTGTATGATATATTTTAAAGCTCTGTTTGCTAAGTATTTTATCATTAATGTTAAAAAATATATTTATTTTGTATTATGGTGAAATATATATATTGTTTACCATTTTAAGTGTACAGTTCAGTGGCATTAAGTACATTCACATTTTTGTGCAACCACCACTACTGTCCGTCTCTAGAATTTCCATATGATTAGTCTTCTGTCCTGTAATTTTTGAGTGCAGTATTTTGTCTTATGACTATTCTCATTTACTCACTCAATTCTTTATTTTGTGTGAGCACTGTGATGATGACTGTTCCTGTATTCATTCAACATCTTTTGAACACCTACTGTGGGCCTTTCCCAGTTACGTATACTGGGAATACTGTGATGAACATGCAAAATGAAATAAGACAGATACACGCATCAGTGTGATGTTAGGGCTTTGGTAAGAGGCAGGAAGAAGTGCATGCAGCCTGGAGAGTGCATTGGAGCATTGATCTGTCAGGACAAGAAAACTTCCCCCTAGGCCATACATACAGAAGTCAGAATTATTGAAACCAAGTGGGCAGGCAAGGGCGTTTCTGATAGGGAAGACAACATGCAAGGGGAGAAGAATGATATCTGTGAAGTTTTTGCATGCTTGTTCATTTCCCAGGGCATGTATCTAGAACTTGCATGTGCAGGGGCTGCTCTAAGCCTTGTTTACCATCCCAGCAGCAAACAGTGGATAATAACGGATAATAACAATGGAGGATAGTCAGTGTCCTCATAGACGTTGTATTTTCCTAGATAAATTGCTGAAAGTGAAATTGCTGTCAAAGGGTATGCAAAATAAATGGGTTTGTTGTTAACATTCCCAAGGAGCTTTGGATTGCTGGTGTGACTGGGCACAGGAGGCAAGCCGCCAGTGATGGCTGAACTCTGTTGACCAAGACGCCCTGTGCTCTAAGTACTTGGCAGCATGTGACATAAGGAGACAACAGAGCGCTGCCCTGTGGCGTTGTTGAGCGCATTATATAGACAGAAGTGGGGGTAGCGGCTCTGGTAATAAATCAGGTTATTCTAGGACTCTGATCTTGGCTTTGAATTCTGTCCTGTTTCATTTCAGAAACTTTGTGTAGAAGTTGAAAAGAAAATAGTATCTATAACATTACCTTATCTAGAATATATGTTATACTATATGCTATAGTTCAAACTGATTGTGTCTATAGATACTAATTAAATAGGGACAGTACCAGTTCACTTAAGTAAGGAAGTCAGTGGGATTTTTAATAAAAGGATTATAGATTAGCATTTTCTTACTCAGTAGCTACTAAAATGAATTGGGCAAAATTTTTTGTATTTTTAGTAGAGACGGGGTTTCACCGTATTAGCCAGGATGGTCTCGATCTCCTGACCTCGTGATGCACCCACCTTGGCCTCCCAAAGTGCTGGGATTCCAGGCGTGAGCCACCACGCCCGGCCGTAAAATTATTAGTACATGTATTGTATATGTGGAATAACCAAAAATGTTTTGAGCTTTACTTATTCATCAAATTTTTATGTAATTGAATATATTGTCAAAAGAAAAGCTAGATATTTGATTGTAATGGATATTTTTCTGGTAAGATCATATTAATTAGCCAATAACTTCAGAATGAGTCAGTGGCCCAGGCAGTCTCCTACAGGGCTGGCACCCAACTGGGATGTTCCCACATTGACCATGTACAGCTGGCCTCCACCCTGGCTGATTGATACTTACGTGGTGCCAGACATTAAGTATCTTGAATATCAGTCCTGGTTTCCCATACGTACATACATACATGTGTGTGTGGGAAATATATATCTATTTTGAGATAGGATCTCACTCTGTCACCAGGCTGGAGTGCAGTGATATGATCTCAGCTCACTGCAACCTCTGCCTCCCAGGTTCAAGTGATTCTCCCACCTCAGTCTCCCAAGTAGGTGGGATTACAGGTGTGTGCTACCACACCTGGCTAATTTTTTGCTTTTTTTTTTCTGTAGAGATGGGGTTTCACCATGTTGCCCAGGCTGGTCTCCCAACTCCTGGGCTCAAGGAATCTGCCCACCTCGGCCTCCCAAAATGCTAGGATTACAGGTTTGAGCTACCATGCCTGGCCCTCATACATATTTTTAAGTAAAAATGTGTCACAAGATACTTCAATATTTTGTGCATATGCTTGCTCACCTGTGCCTGGTATTAGATGAAAGAGTTTTTCACTTTTATTCCAAAACGTGAAATTTTGAACTCTGAAAGTAAATATTTATTAGTATATAATGTGTGAAAAAAGTGATACCTGTCTAGAAGCCAGTCTCTGGTGCGTTTGGGCATCTATCCTAGCTTATAAAAATAGAGCAAAAGCAAACAAAAAGGTGAAAACCCCAAATACAGAAGAAGCAATTTCTCAGCACTAGGCATCAGACTATCAGCCAAGAAAATCTAACACTGGCCTGTGTACTTTTTTCAAGTTGCAAGAATTGGAGCGTTTTGGATGCTGTAGATTAAACTTCTAACCTGCTGGGTGTGGTGGCTCCTACCTGTAATCCCAGCACTTTAGGAGGCTGAGCAGGGAGGATCACTTGAGCCCAGGAGTTCAAGAGCAGCCTTGACGATATAGTCTCTACAAAAAATGCAAAAATTAGTTGGGCTTGGTGGTGCATGCCTATAGTCCCAGCTATTCGGGAGGCTGAGGTGGAAGGATTGCTTGAGCCTGGGAGGTTGAAGCTACAGTGAACTGGGATTATGCCACTGCCTTCCAGCCTGAGTGACAGAGCATGACCCTGTCTCAAAACAAACAAAAAATAAATAAACTCCTAACCTGTCGAGGGCAGGTCAGGAAATAGATGAGCAAGGTGGAAGGAGCAAGTCCTCTGGGAAGGAAAGGAGACAAGGACTTTCAGCCCAGTTGGCCGATGATCAGGTGCTTCTGGCTGGTGTCCTGGGCAGAGGGTATAAAGGAAGAGAGAAGCATTAGGAAAGTACCTCCATGGTCATGTGGCCACATACTGTTTTATTCTTTCTGTGGGAAAATAATTGGCCAAACTGATGTCTAGATTTAGGGACACTGCTGCAAGGCCAGGCCCAGCGTGGCTCCTGGGGAGGTTTCCTGTGTCTCTGCAGTGCCGTTTGTGGTAGCTGCGCATCTGTTTCCATGGCTTGGAATGATTCCCACATGTTCAAGTTGGTATTTAAGATGAAAGAGAATGTAGTGTATCATCGTTTTCCATCAAAAATAAGAGCTGAAATTAAGTGCTGGTATTAACAGGTAGCATGGTGGTATCTAGAAAATTTGACCCTCCAGAGCAACTTACTCCTGTACATGCTTGAGGTTGTATTCTATTAAAGCAAAATTTTAAGAGTTTCTGAAAGTAACCATAAAATTTTGAGTGCTTGAGGTTGCTTTTATTTTTATTTTTTAAATGTTTTATGCTGAATAACCTCTATTTCTTTCTTTTCTTTTTTTTTTTTTGTTTGGTTAGCCTCATTAGAAAGAAGGCTGCTGGGCTGGAATCGGCAGCTACGATAAGAACCAAAGTGTTTGTGTGGGGTCTGAATGACAAGGACCAGCTGGGCGGGCTGAAAGGCTCCAAGGTACGGCCTGCTCCCTGGGACCCAGCAGGGCGGGGCACTCGGCAGCAGCCACACCTCGTGAAGTTTTTATAATAACTTTACGCTCTATGTGTTGTACTGTTTCTTTACACGAACTAAAAGACATTATCAAATTACCCCTCAGAAGCGTCTCTCCTTGGAAAATTTCACTTTAGATATAATTGTTTTATTGCAGTCTTATAAACTAGAACATAAACTTTTGAAAAGATTTCACAAGTGCATAGACGAAAATTACAGACCATCGATAGATGTATCTTGCCTCCCCTACAATAAACACTTTTGACTATCATGAACAAAATAATGTGTAAAAAAGCCGTAGTGGCACACAGATGAGCAAGTTGTGGTCTCTGTCCTCCAGGTGCTTCGTGCCTGAGATTCTTCAGGGTAAAGTAGCTTGCACAGAGAGAGAAGGCTTTGTGAGCACAGAGAAACAAGCAGAATGCACATGTGTGCGCATACACACTTGACTTATTCTTTGCAGGGCTTGTTGTGGGTGGAGAGCGCCATGATCTCATTTACCTTGTCAGTAAACCATGAAGCACGCACAGGAAGCCGTGCCACAGCCTCTGTGTTCACAACATCCTTCATCCCCTAGGTACTGGGATGAAAGGTTAATTTGTATTTTGAATTGCTTAGAAGAAAAAGACCATATTTTGAAAAGAATAGGTGTAAGAAATGATGCATTTAAACTGGAGTTGAATTTGGCGTTCCTTATATTACTTAGTGTCTCCTGGCTGAGGAGCCACAAAGCAAATTCCTCTAAATTTTGTTGCCCAGAGGCACTCTCTGTGTTCACATGAACTTAGGCTTCCTGTTAGTATTCTGTGAGATACCACATCGTACATTTTCCTTATTGCCTGCCCTGTTGAGAAGCTGAGAAATAAAGTTAGAACTCATTCATTTGAACTCTTTCCTTTCAAGGTGCAATAATTTTTATCTGTATTGGAGCAGCCTTGAATTGCATTTGTGTTTCAATGCCCCTGAGCTTGGTTTGGGAAGTGGACAGTGGGCGGTGAGCTGTGGGTGTCTCAGCTGTGGGAGTGCAGGGCTGTCCAGGTCCCTGAGGTGCAGGCCATTGGTGGGAGCCTATGACCTTGCTCACTGCCCTACATGGAGTTTTCACTTCAAGGATGGAGTCATCTTTCCATGGTTGTGATGAAAATCCTTTCTTCCGCTGCAGTAGTGACTGTTTCACCCATGGAATCATAAAGGGTTTTTTAGACAAAGGGCCCTAGGAATTTTAAATTAAATTACATCCATCTACAATGGGAAATTTAAGTATATAATTTCTTAGAGATGTCAGAGTCAGAATCAGAGAATGAGCAGGACATGACTTGAAAGAAGGTATAGTCTGCAGGTGTGTGTGTTTATCTTTACATTATATGCATAGTCATTCCTCAGTATCCATGGGGGATTTGTTCCGGGACTTCCTGTGGATACCAAGATCTGTGGATGCTCAAATCCCTGATATAAAACAGTGTAGTGTTTGCATATAACCTATGCACACCCTCCTAAATACTGTATATCATCTTCAGATTACTCAGAATACCTAATACAGTGTAAATGGTATGTCAATAGTTGTTATATTACATTGTTAAGGGAACAATGGCAACAAAATATCTGTACATATTTAGTATAGGTACAATAAAAAATCTTTTCAATCCATGGGTGGTTGAATTCATGGATATGGAACCTATGGATACAGAGGACCAACTGTATTTTATTTTTTACCTTCTATTATGGAAATGTTCAGATGTACCCAAATAGAGTGAATAGCATCACGAACCCTTATGTCCCTGGTACCAGCTTCCATAGTTACCAGCAGCTGTCTACGTTTTTCTGTCTCTGTCCTCTCATTCCCCCAACTCTGGTTTAAAGTAAATCACAGTGTATCATTTCATTTTTAAAATACTCTAGTGTGAACCTCTAAGGGATAACCAATGCCTTTGGTTAATGTAACCATACATAGTAGTAGCACAGTCATGCGTTACTTAATGATGGGGATACATTCTGAGAAAGTTTTGGTAGAGTGATTTTGTCATTGTTGAAAAATGATAGAGTGTACTTAACACAAACGTAGATGCTGTAGCTTACTACACACTCAAGCTATATGGTATAGCCTATTGCTCCTCCTACTACAGTTACAACATGTAACTGTACTGAATATGGTAGGCAGTTGTAACTCAATGGCATTTGTGTATTTAAACACAGAAAAGGTACAGTAAAAATACAGTGTAAAAGATTAAACATGGAACACCTGCATAGGGTACTTACCATGAATAATGGAGTTTGCAGGGCTGGAAGTAGCTCTGGGTGAGTCAGTGCACATTACTGTAGACTTTAGAAGCACTATATGCTTTAGACTACTCTATAAAAAATATTTTTCTTTCTTTAATAATAAATTATTTGTAACTTTACCTTTACTTTTGAACTTTTCACTTTTTAAAAAACTTTTTGACTCTTATGATAATAGTTAGCTTAAAACACAAACACAGCTCTGTACAAAATGTTTTCTTTACATTCTTCTTTTGCTTTTTAAACTTTTTTGTTAAAAACTGAGACTCAGACACATACATTAGCCTAGCTAGGATCATAGTGTTACTTCTCTTTCACCCCCACGAAGGAGTAGCTGTCCTTTCCTGTGACGGCCGTGCCTTCTGGAGTCCCTCCTGAAGCACCAGCCATAGGCTGTTTTACAGTCGGCTTAAAAAAAAAAAAGTAGAAGGAATACACCCTAAAAGAATGATAGAAAGTATTGCGTAGTGAATATATAGGCCAGTAGCAGTTGTCTGTTGTCATTATGAGGTATTAGGGATTATTGATATGTAGCTGGCAGCACAGAGGCTTGTTGACACAGCATCACCACAGACACATGAGGAATTGGTTGGACTGTGATATTGTCATGGCCAGGACACCACTAGGCAGTAAAGGTTTTTCAGCTCCATTATGATCTACTGGGACTATCATCGTATATGTAGCCTGTGGTTGAGTGAAATGTTATGCAGTGCATGACTGTAATTCCTTGTATCATATAATAAGGTAACATAATTTTAAACATGCAAGTAAAATTTTTTTTTTTTCTTAAAAAAATTCTGTTCTAGATAAAGGTTCCTTCGTTCTCTGAGACACTGTCTGCTTTGAATGTGGTACAGGTGGCTGGTGGTTCTAAAAGTTTGTTTGCAGGTATGATTATTCTAATATTAAACAATTTTTAAATTATGCTTGGCACCAAAAACCAGAAAAGTTTTTAATGTTGTGAAAAGTGAGTCCTCTCCTGGCTGTCGTTCCTTGCAGTGACTGTGGAAGGGAAGGTGTATGCCTGTGGAGAAGCCACGAATGGCCGACTGGGGCTGGGCATTTCCAGCGGGACGGTGCCCATCCCACGGCAGATCACAGCTCTCAGCAGCTACGTGGTGAAGAAGGTGGCTGTTCACTCAGGTACAAACCAAGCACCAGCAGGCCTGTGTGGATCAGCCTGTTGCTCTTGCTCCGTTGTTAACCAAAGCCCTAATTGGTATCCTTACATTCTTTCTTAAGTTTTTACTTAGTAGGAATAAAAATTGGATAATGAAAAATCTCTAGGTGGTCTAGAATTTAGTTATTGCTGCCAAATCAAGTTCTTTGCCTGAAAGCAGGCTGTTTTTCTGAAAGAGTCTATAACTTTCTTCAGATTCCCAAAAGTATCTATGAACCCAAGTAATGAGAAAGATCCTTTAAACAAAACCAGACCACTCCTTCAGTGTAGAGAGTGTGTATTTTGGAAGCACTGTGCTAGGCCTCTGAGGAACGGAACTGAATTAGACACAAAGTTCTAATTCAGTTCATGCCTATGCTGAACGGGGCTCAGTGTCACCCGCGTAACAGGAAATCCAAATGATAGTGGCTTAAGCAATGCAGAGTTTTACTTTTCTCCTTGTAAAAGTCCAGAGGTGGGGTCAGAGTCCATCCGGCAGGGCTGTGTCTATGAGGAGTGCTGGTCCTTTGTGTCCGCCTTTGTGGGAAGATGGTCTTAGACTAGCTCTGGCCCCCAGAGTCCAGGGCCAGGCCTGGCCGAAGAGGCAGGCACCACACAGTGTGCCCTCCCGCCCATGCAGCCCTCTCTCCAGAGCCCCTCTGAAGCCCCACTCGTTTCACTCACCATCTCCTGCGGGTAGAGGAGGCTGGGAAGTGGTGTTTAGCTGAGCACATTAACATGGGGGTTCTGTTGGTAAGGAAGGGGGAGAATGAGCGTTGGGGGAGTACAAGCCTGGTCTGCTGTGATGTTCTCAAAGCCCAGGAGTTGGCAGGAACTCACTGTGTAGGAGTGGTCATGCCTTTAATCCTGAGGCAGGTTGTATGGACTTTGAGAATATTCCATGCTGGGGAAAGAGCATCAACTGGCGTGTTTTGGGAAGAGTGAGTATAATGCTAATGCAAGTGACTGAATAATTTCACTGTTGAGGTACAGTTCTCAAAAGCTTCAATTGACACTATTTTTACATTTTGTCTAATCACAAATTATTTTTACTTTTTTCATCTAAATTTTGATTTTTCATGTATTTAACATAATAGGAACCCTATTAATAATCAGTATTATTTTGCCTCTTTGCAAATTCTTTCTAGAGTTAAATTTGTAGTTTAGTAAAAATTCACTTATTTGACACATATGTCCCAGAAAGCTTTGCTGCTAGCTCCGCTGTTGATCCTGTTGAGTTACTCATTTATTCGGCTCACACTCATTGAGTGTGTGCTACATGCCAGGCAAAATAGGGAGCTGTGCTGTGGGCGCTCTGTACCCTGCCCTTTGGCAATCCGCACATCTGTGCATGTTGCAGGTGGCCGGCACGCGACGGCTTTAACTGTCGATGGAAAAGTGTTTTCGTGGGGCGAAGGTGACGACGGAAAACTTGGACATTTCAGCAGAATGTAAGGGTACTTTCTTTAGTCTCATTTGCTAATAAGAAACTGTTACGGATACTCTTGAAAGTTATTTTGCAGAAAATTGGAATAGATTATGGAAATGGATCTTAAACAATTTTTTTTTAACATGGTTGTTTGTGTTTTGGTCTCATCGGTTCTGCTTAAGGTTTGGTAGTTGATCTGTGGATCTTGTGTTGACTACATGTGGATCAGTATAGATGTCTTTTTTCGTCTCTAAGAAGGGACGGATTGACTGTAGGGAACTGATTTCTTCTTGTAGGAACTGTGACAAGCCAAGGCTGATCGAGGCCCTGAAAACCAAGCGAATCCGAGATATCGCCTGTGGGAGCTCGCACAGCGCGGCCCTCACATCCAGCGGAGAACTGTACACCTGGGGCCTCGGCGAGTACGGCCGGCTGGGACATGGGGATAATACGACCCAGCTAAAGCCCAAAATGGTGATTATACGCATTTTTGTTGCTTACAGAAAGCTTACCATCTGAAGATTTCAAGAGAAACTAAACTTCGAGTCTAGGAAAGTTCATAAAGATGTGTGCATGGTTGGCTTTGTCTTTGGGAAATTCCCTTGCTTTCTCCGTGCCTGTGCTTGATTCTGTTTTTAAATTTGTAATTGAGTAGGTGAAAGTCCTTCTTGGTCACAGAGTAATCCAGGTTGCCTGTGGGAGTAGGGACGCACAGACCCTGGCTCTGACCGACGAAGGTGAGTGCCTGGCATGATTCTGTGCTCCTGGGTGGGTAAGAATGATATGAAACGTTGGCCTGAAGTATATGTATATTCTTAAACCTAGGTTTGGTATTTTCCTGGGGTGATGGTGACTTTGGAAAATTGGGCCGGGGCGGAAGTGAAGGCTGTAACATTCCGCAGAACATTGAGAGACTGAATGGACAGGGGGTGTGCCAGATTGAGTGTGGAGCTCAGTTCTCCCTGGCGCTCACCAAGTCTGGAGTGGTGTGGACATGGTACGTAAACATCCTCCCTGTCACAGTGTGCGTGCTTGTGCAGGTGCGTGCGGGGAACGTGGGCCTCACGCCAGGCCCACCCCGGCATGATTGTGACCTGTCAGATTCTTACTTATACATGCGTCTTTGTCCTTTAAAGGATATTGAGTTGGGATTAGTGACAATAGTACAAGAAGAAATTTCCCATTGTAACTGGGTCATTTTGAAAATACTAGAAAAATTTTAGGCCACTTACCTTTCCTGTTTGGGTGAGATTTATAGGAAAGATTTCTTCTGCTGAAGCCTAAGGATAAAATGAGAGCAAAATAACCTTCTGAATCCTTTGATCCTGAAAAAGTTAACATGTATTTCTTGTAAAAGCTTATTTTATTAATGTGCAAAAGAGCAGGTGCCCAGACTGACCTTGAATGGTGTGTCAGGCCTTAGTGCCAGTGTCATGACCAGAGGCAGCTTGAGAAAGGTATATACCAGATAGTACTTTGGATAAGTGTTTGCAGTAGTGTGTCTTATTTTCAGTCTCTTTATATGAAAACTTACAATAGTAACTTAAATATCGTAAAACATGTATTAAAGTATTAAGGTTTTCCCAGCTGACTTAATAAGTTAATTTGAATTAATGGTGTATGATTTTGAATGAAAGTTCAAAGACCCTGAGTGCCGTGTGTGATGTCATTGAGCTGGCTGTGAAAGATGTGAGACTGAGCATTTTCCTTTATAGCATTGTCAGACCATAACGTATTGTAACACTCCACCATTGGCCTTCTCCCAGGGGAAAGGGGGATTACTTCAGGTTGGGCCATGGCTCTGACGTGCATGTGCGGAAACCGCAGGTGGTGGAAGGGCTGAGAGGGAAGAAGATCGTGCATGTGGCCGTCGGGGCCCTGCACTGCCTGGCGGTCACGGACTCGGGGCAGGTAAGGCTGCAGGTGGCCTGGGGGTGGCGTGCCATCCTGACTTGGGGGACTTGGGGGTCATGACATGGTGCTCGTCCTGTTGAAATCGCAGCTGTTGATGAAATCAGCCGAGTCTTACTGCTTGAAGAACCATGAGGGCAGGACGCGTCCCTTTTGCTCACTGGTGTATCTGCCTGCTCGGCTGCAGGGGTTGGGGGGCGGGGTCCTCAGAAAAGACATGTTCCCATTCTGAAGTCTGCATGAAAAGTGTGTGGAAAGATTGTTATTCTTGAAGATGCTCGTACTGCTAGGTATTAGCAAGACTTTCCTTTAGAGAATTGCTAACTGGCGAGGAGGGATCCATGCCTCATTTTAGAGACAAAGCTACTGCCTGACAAGTGTTACTGTCTCGTCTGCTTGTGGGAGCATATGCTATGACTGGCTTGTGGATATTCAATTTTAAATTTTGTTTATGAAAGCAAAATTACCGTTACTGTTTTTGAGTCAAAATGAATTATACTTTATAATTCTACAAGGCCAAGAAGCAACTTACTTGAAAAATGAGCATATTGTTTTTGGTCATTTTTCTTTGCAAAATAAAAGGGAAAAAAATTATTGCACTTAGTTGAAGAGAGGACCTTCTGTGTGTCTTGCAACAAAGCAGAATTGGATTAATATTAAGAAAATACTCCTTTTATAGGTGTCATCAAGCGTTTTCATGGTTAGATTTTCTTCAGAATTGTCGTACACTGATGCCATTTCGTAAGATTGTGAAATGGTTTGTTTTCACCTTTAAGAACTCAATTCTTTCAACTACCGTGGCATACACGTTAAGCATTTTGAAGTAAAAATTACATTAAAGAAAATGTCCTGAAATGTTGAAAAATTATAAGCATTTTCCCCCCTCGTAAACAGGTGTATGCTTGGGGTGACAATGACCACGGCCAGCAGGGCAATGGCACAACCACGGTTAACAGGAAGCCCACACTCGTGCAAGGCTTGGAAGGCCAGAAGATCACGCGCGTGGCTTGCGGGTCGTCCCACAGTGTGGCGTGGACAACCGTGGATGTGGCCACGCCCTCTGTCCACGAGCCCGTCCTCTTCCAGACTGCGAGAGACCCTTTAGGTGCTTCCTATTTAGGTAACACAGATTTGTGTCTTCTCTGAGATTTTTCTGTAGATTACAGCAACCTTACAGATTTATTTAATTGTGCCAACACATCAGAGGTTGTAGTGCTGTGTTAACTGCATTATGAATCTAAAGACACAGAAGAATTAGGGTGTGCTCTCATGCGATTTATCCATGCTGGAATGAAAATTGTAGAAGAAAGTATGTTGCTGATTCTTGTATTTATGATCAGGTAAACTCACAGCGCTGTACTTGTGTGTAAACAGGACTCCTAATAACTGCCTGAGAGATACAGGCACTGTAGTGGGCTCTTTTGTATTTTTTAACAGCTTTATTCAGTTATTATTGACATATAATGAACTGCATCTATTTTAAGTATAGATTTTGATCAACTTTGAAATATATGTGATCCATGAAAGCATCACCACAATCAAAGATAATGAACCCATACACTACTCTAGCGTTTCTCTCTGGCCCTTTGTACCCATCTCCCTTTTGCTTTTAACTCCCCTCCTCCCTCCTGCCATATGCACCAACTTAATTTCTGTCACTATAGATCAGTTTACATGTTTTCTTTTTGTTGTTGTTTGGTTGGGTTTTTGTTTGTTTGTTTGTAGACAGGGTCTCAGTCTGTCGCCTAGGCTGGAGTGCAGTGGCATGATCTTGGCTCACTGCAGCTCCCACGTCAGCCTCCTGAATAGCTGGGACTACAGGCACATGTCACCATACCAGGCTAATTTTTGTTTGTTTGTTTGGTGGAGACAGGGTTTTGCCATATTGCTCAGGTTGGTCTTGAACCCCTGAGCTCAAGTGATCCTCCCACCTCGGCCTCCCAAAGTGCTGGGATTATAGGCAGGAGCCACTGTGGCAGGCCAGTTTGCATGTTTTACAGCTTACTATAAATGGAATCATACAGCATGTACTCTTTTTACAAATCTTACTTTTTCCACTCAGCATAATAATTTTGAGATTCACTTATGTTGCATGTATCAGTAGTTTATTATTTTTAAATTGTTGAATAGCATCTTAAGATAAACAAATGCAATTTGCTGTTGGTGAATGTTTGGGCTATTTCCAGTTTTTGACTGTACAAGTGAAATTGCTAATGGACATTTCCATACAAGTTTGTGTATGGACATCCACTTGAAATTCTCTTGGATAAACTCCTAGGAGAAGAGTGGTTGGATCATATGGTAGGTGTATGTCTAGCTTCTTAAGATCGCTACATACTGTTTTGCAAAGTGGATGTTCCAGAGGCCCACATCCTCCACACTTTTGTCAACCCTTGATATGTTCAGTCTTTTAGTTGTACTGATAGATGTATGGTGGTATCTCATTGTGGTTTTAATTTGTATTTCCCTAGTAACTAATGATCTCAAGCATCTTGTTTATTTATGAATTAGATACCTTTTTTGGTCAATGTCCGTTCAAGTCTTTTCCCATATTTAAGTAGGTTGATTGTTTTCTTACTGAGTTTGAGAGTTCCTTATATATTCTGGGTTACAAGTCCTTTGCCTGATATATAAGTTGCTAATATTTTCTGTCAATGTGACTTGTCATTTTATTCTCTTCATAGGTGAATCTTAAAGATTAGAAGTTTTTAATTTTGATGAAGCCTAGTTTATTCATTTTATTCTTTTGTAGAGCATACTTTTGATGTTGTGTCTACAAAACCTTTGCCTCACTCGAGATTATAAAGATTCTCTTTCTGTGTTCTGTTATAGAAGTTTTATAGTTTTAGATATGTGTATCTATGACCAGTTGATTAAATTTTATGTATGGTGGGAGGTTCAGATTGAAAGGCTTTTTCTGGCTTGATTGTCCAGTAGTTTCAGTTGTATTTGTTGAAAAACTTTGCTTTTCCTACTGAATTGCCTTTTGCCTTTGTCAGAAATCAGTTGTCTATGGATGTATGGATCTATTTCTGAACTCTCAGTACTGTTTTTATTTGTGGATTTTGGTGGCAATGCCACATTGTCTTGATTACTACAGCTTTATAAAATACCTGAACTCAAGTTGCAACAGTTCTTTCGCTTTGTTCTTTTTCAAATATATTTTGGCTGTTGTAGTCCCTTTGCATTTCCATATAACTTAAAATGAGCTTGTCTTTTTTTTTTTTTTTTTTTTTAGATGGAGTCTCATTCTGTCGCCCAGGCTGGAGTGCAGTGGCGCAATCTTGGCTCACTGCAGGCTCCGCCTCCCAGGTTCACACCATTCTCCTGCTTCAGCCTCCAGTGTAGCTGGGACTAAAGGCGCCGCCACCGCGCCCGGCTAATTTTTTGTATTTTTAGTAGAGATGGGGTTTCACCATGTTAGCCAGGATGGCCTCGTGATCCACCCGCCTCGGCCTCCCAAAGTGCTGGGATTACAGGCGTGAGCCACCGCACCCGGCCGAGCTTGTCAGTTTTTATAAAACCGCTTGCTTGGGGTTTTGCTGTGAATCGCATTCATTCTGTAAGTCAGTGTGGAAAGGATGGATTCACAGTATTCAGTCTTCTAACCCATGAACACAGTGTTTCTCTTTATTTGTTAGATGTTTAGTTTCTCTCAGCAATGTTTTCTAGTCCCAGTGTTGTATAGGTCCTGCATATCTTTTGTTAGATTATCTCTAAGAATTTCAGATTATTAAATGGTCTTTTAAAAATATCATTTTTTTTCTGTTGTATGGGAATATTCACATTGCTCCTTGCTAGCATGTAGAAATAAATATAATTGCTTTTTTTTTTTTTTTTAAGTGAACCTCATCTTGTCATACAAATATTTTGTTTTTTTCCCTTATCTCTCAGGAGGGACGTTTCTCTAGCTGGAAATGTCTAGAGGACACGTCTCTCTAGCAGCATCTGCTTTGGTGAATAACTGGAATGTTATCTTCTGGCTGTGTTAGTTACTGACTGTATGAACTGAGGCGAGTGACTTCGCCTTCCTGTGCTGTCTTCTCTTCTGGGGTAGATGAAGATAAAGCTTGACTCTCGTCGTCTCCTTTCTGGTTCAAATTAGTGTCTTCTTAACGTATAGCTCTTTTCATGTCACATTATTTGTATGACTTTTGAGTTTGGCTTTTTCCACTCAGCCTAATCCTCTGGAGATCCATCCACGTTGTTACATATTACATAGTTTGTTCAGTATTCCATCAAATACTCAACCATTGAAGGACGTTTGAATTATTTCTAGGTTTTGGCTAATACAAATAAAACTGCCATGTCATTCATATACAGGTGGATGTGAAAATTCACTTTATGTGAAAATAAGTTCTTATTTCTTTGACATAAATGCCCAAAAGTGTGATTGCTGGTCATATGGTAATTATGTTTAGTTTGATAAGAAACTGCCAAACTGTTTTCTGGAATGGCTGTACCATTTTATAATCTCATTAGCAGTGGAGGATGATCCAGTTTTTCCCATATCCTCACCATCTTTTTAAAATGCAGCCGTACTGGTAGATAGGTCATTGTATCTCATTGTGATTTGAATTTATATTTTCCTCATGGCTAATTATGTTAAACATCTTTTCATGTGCTTGTTTACTGTCCGTATCTCCTCTTTGGTAAAATATGTCTTCATGCCCTTTTCTAATTGGCTTTTTTTTTCTGTTGAGTTTAGAGAGTTCATTATATATTCTAGATATTTCTAGTCCTTTGGCAGATGTGTGTTATGCAAATGTTTTCTCCTGGTCTCTAGCTTGTCTTTTCCTTTCATAAAACAAAAGTGTTTAATTTTGATGAAGTCTAATTCATCAGTTTTTTCTTTTGTAGGTCATACTTTTGGTGTCGTCTATTTTTGCCTAGTGCTAGATCCTAAAGACCGTCTCCTTTTTTTTTCTAAAAGATTTATAGTTTTGTATTTTCTACTTAAGTCATGATCCATTTGGATTTAATTTTGCATAAGGTGTAGACTTAGGCTGAAGTTTGGGTTTTTTGCCCACAGACATCCAGTTGCTCCACCACCACGTGCTGAAAGGCTGTCCTGCCTCCGCTGAGTCGCTTTTGCATATTTGTCAACAGTCAGTGAGGCGTATTTGTGTGGTTCTGTTTCTGGGTTCGCTGTTTATTCCGTAGATTCTTATGCCAGTACCACACAGTTTTGGTTATGGTATTACAACAACTTTTGAGATAGGGTAGACTCGTTCCTCCTCCTTATTTTTCTATTTCTATTCTTGTTCCTTTGCCTTTCCATATACATTTTAGAATAATCTTGACAAAAACTCTTGTGGGAATTCTGGTAGGAATTGCATTAAATCTGTGTATCAATTTGGATGAGTTGACATAGACACATGTCCCAGCTCCACCTGGCTCCCTCCCCCTGCGGAGACCTGGGAGTTTGCAGGGAAGTGAACCTGATGAGACTTTATTGGTGAATATCTTCTCTCTTTATTATTTTGTATTCTTTTTTGTCTTGCCTTACTAGGCTAAGAAAACACAGGTAGTAATTGTAGCATTTTCATAGCTTATATGTATATAACATAAACGTTTGTAAGTGCATTTTATACAAGCATCTACATCTTTTTACAGTTACAGTGAAATTTTGCTGAAAATAGCTTCTTTATCAAAGTATGGATAAGTGGTGTTCTTATTCTGAAGGCCTGTGAATGAGCCTAGTAGGTGCTCTGTAAAATAGCAAAATGCAGATTGCAGTGTGTTTTGGAACTAACCTATAAGGTCAGATTTTACAGAAATAGAGGAAACTGTGATCTTAAAAACAAAATGCACATTTTACTTTTCCCTTATAGGCGTGCCTTCAGATGCCGATTCTTCTGCTGCCAGTAATAAAATAAGTGGTGCAAGTAATTCTAAGCCGAATCGCCCTTCTCTTGCCAAGATTCTCTTGTCACTGGATGGAAATCTGGCCAAACAGCAGGCCTTATCGCATATTCTCACAGCGCTGCAAATCATGTACGCCAGGTAGGCTCCTGTGCTCGTTTTTGGAATTCTGCAATTATGTGATTTTTTTTCTTTTAGTTGATCAGATGTCTCCAAGAATGTCATATTATTGTCTTTAAATGCTGTGTGTTGTAAGTCGCATGTTCTTTGATGGTAATTGATCATATCTTTGTGTGTGTTTTAATGGGCATTGAAATATGAATTCGAAAACTAACTTGAACATTTTCACTATTCTTTTTGACCAGTAGACTCTAACAATTAATATTTGGGGGAAGAAAAGAAGAATTAGGTGATACTAATTTATAGTGATGTCTAAGACGACTTAGCATCCCCTTCGCTCCCGTGAGAAGGCTGAGTTTTGCCAATGCGGCATTTTGCAGTATTTTTCTGCTGCTTTTCCACAGCCTAGATAAGTTGCCAATCTATTAATGTATCACACCTGTGGACCTGACGGGTGTATTTACATAAGAAAATTAGTTTCAGAACAAAAACAGTTATTCAGTAGAGGCCATTGAGTCCTAGCTGCCCAGTATGTGGCTTTCAGTAAACACAAAATTGCCTCTTGGTCAATTATCCAGCCCTCAGGCTCTCACAGCAGCCCAAGAGGATTTCTCAGGGAGAGCCAGAGTCTCATTCTGGTCCGGTTTTTATGTTTGGCAGTTTTTCACCTGCTATTACTCTGGTTTTTCAAATAAATAAAATCCAGAGTAAACATTTTAGCTATTAGCCCAAGGATACAGGTAATAATGTTTGGTTTCCAAAACTCTTTTACATGTATTCAATAAAAATGAGGAAATGCCTCAGTATGCGTGCTAGTCCTGCCTCGCCACTTCCTGTGGTGCTGTGGAGAAGGGGCAGCTCACCACAGGCCGGGCTTTGTGTCCTGACAGAGATGCCGTTGTCGGGGCCCTGATGCCAGCTGCCATGATTGCCCCGGTGGAGTGCCCCTCGTTCTCCTCCGCGGCCCCTTCCGACGCGTCTGCCATGGCTAGTCCCATGAATGGAGAAGAATGCATGCTGGCAGTTGATATGGAAGACAGGCTGAGTCCAAATCCATGGCAAGAAAAGAGAGAGGTAAAAGCAACCTTAGATCAGAAGGTAAAAGGTGGCTACTTTGTGTCTAGGAAAGTCTCATTCTGTCATTTAGTTTAGGCTGTTTCTGTGCCTCTCGCTTTGATTTTTGGCGTTACTTAGAAGAACATTCTCTGTAAAGGAGCTTTTAAAGTGCTTAAGTGGAATTAGATTTCTTTTTTTAAAAAATCTAATTCAAAAAATCTTTTTTAAAAAAATTTAAAAAAAAATCTATTTCAGAAAATCATTAAGTGCAAGTTCACAGTCCTTTATCTGCAATTCTGAAACCTTAAAGTTCTGATGGTCAAGAATTTTAGTGACTTATTTTGGGGGGAAAAACCAACTTTAAGATAACGTGAACTCATTTTAGTCTGGTTCATGGACCTGCTGTGAATATTAATAGTTTTTCTTGAAACTATGAGTGTGCTTGACTTTGCATAACTGTCCTAGGCCCAGCCGGGGGTGGTAGTGGCTATGTCAGGTAGGCAGCATGTTACCTCTGTAAACTCTGGAACATTCTAAACAGCCCAAGTAGTTTTAGATAAAGCATTTGGGACTTGCGTAGGAAATATGTTATGTTGTTGAGTTTTTCCCCTTACGTCGCCTACTGTGCACTCTTCGACTAGATTGCTTCCTCTGAGGACGCGGTGACCCCTTCTGCAGTGACTCCATCGGCCCCCTCAGCCTCCGCCCGGCCGTTTATCCCAGTGACGGATGACCTGGGAGCCGCAAGCATCATTGCAGAAACCATGACCAAAACCAAAGAGGTGAAGAGGCATTCTTCTTCAACTTTGTATTGTGGAATAATCTTAAATGTACACAGAAGTAGGAATAGTACTTAGGAGTGGAACACAGTTGATTCCTATCCCATTCACCTGGGCTTTCCACTTGTTAGCATCTTTGAAGCATTTGTGGGAATGTTGCAGGACACAGTCCCTGTCACTGCTTACTGCTTCCACGTATATTCCTTGAGTGTCAGGACTACAGCTTGATGCAGGATTACTTTCAAACCCAGACATATTTGGATTTTGCTCATCATCCCAATAGTATTCTTATAGGTCTAGCACCCAACCTAGGATTGCACACTGCCTCTTTAGTCTTCAGTGTGGAACAGTCCTTCGTTTTGACAGACACCACAGGAGTGGTGCAGAATTCTTCTCAGTGCCTCTGCTGGGACTCAGGTGTTGCTGATTTGCTGCATCATTGGTGAGATAGCGCAGGAGTGGTGCAGAATTCTTCTCAGTGCCTCTGCTGGGACTCGGGCATTTCTGATTTGCTGCATCATTGGTGAGATAGCTTATCACTTGGTTAAGAGTCTCCGCCAAGTTTCTCCACTGGAAATCAGTAAGTGTGTTTAGTACTCATGGGGAGACACTTTTGAGATTATGTCAATGTCTTGTTCCTCATTATACTTTTACCTCCCAGTTTTTAGCATCTTAAAGATTCTAGCTGAATCCATTATTACTGTGGTGGTTGTCACATTTTCATTTTTCACATTTATTGTTACTTCTGGTTGTAATTGTTGCCATTCTTTTGCAAGAGAAGGCTTTCCCGTCTCATCCGTCTGTCTTCTACCTACCTACCTTTCTGTCTGTCTGTTTATATTGTGTAGATTCGGGAGTTCCTGTTTTAGTCAAATAGTGACATTTGTTACTCTCATTATTTGACACCCAAATTGTCCCAGACTTGGTCATTGGGACTCCCGTGGACTGGTCATTGGGACTCCTGTAGACTGGTCATTGGGACTCCTGTAGACTGGTCATTGGGACCTGGTTATTGGAACTCGTGTGGACTGGTCATTGGGAACCCTGTGGACTGGTTCCATTGTCTGATGTGTCCCCGTAATTCTTAGGGGTCTTCCTTCATTTCTGGCACAACAGTGTGCTCGAGACTCATCTTTCACCTACCCTGCCCCTGCCTGGAATCAGCCATTTCTCCAAGAAGCCATGGTTCCTGCTAGTGACTTGTAGGATTTGGAAACCAAGATCTGGGTGCTTGCTAAGCTGATTGTTACTGAGTGTTGTTGGTTAGGCCCGCTCAGCAAATAGATCTATACACACGAGCATTTATTTATCCTTCTGCATTTATCTATATAATAAAAACCATTAACAGCCCAAATCAATACTTTTAATTCCAGTCCAGTACCACAGGGCTTATTCCTACTCTCCCTCTTTCCATATTTTTTTGCTGTATAATGCTTTTATATGTTGCTAAATTTGGTTTGTTGCTATTTTGTTGAAGATTTTTGCATCTGTATTCATAAGGGATACGGCTCTGTAGTTTTCTTGTGATGTCTTTGGGTATTATGGCAATATTGGCTTCATAGATTGGAGGGTGTTCCTTTCTCTCCTGTTTTTTGGAAGAGTTGGTGAAGGACTGGGGTTAATTCTGTAAGTAGTTGGTAGAATTGTGTCTGCTCTTCTGGCATATTCCCATCATTCTTTGAGTATTTCCTTTTTGGCACAACACAAAATTCCAGGCTCAACAAGATGTTTTAGGCTCCAACATAGGAATCAGTTATTTCTCTGACAAGTCCTAGTTCTTTCTGGTGGAGAAGGGCATTTAGAGATCAAGATCTGGGCCCTTTGTGTGCTTGTTGCTGTTTGGGTGACAGTGGTAGAGAATGAATATGTGTGCGTGTAACATAATAGGTACATACATCAGTGTTTTGTTTTGTTTTGTTTTAGACAGGGTCTTGTTCTGTTGCCCAGGCTGGAGTACAGTGGCACAATCTTGGCTCACTGCAGCCTCAACCTCCTGATCTTAAGCCGTCCTCAGCCTCCCAAGTAGCTGGAACTAGAAGTATGCACCACCACATCTGGCTAATTTTTGTATTTTTTTCTTTTTTCTTTTTTTTTTAGAGATAGGGTTTCGCCGTGTTGCCCAGGGTGGTCTTAGGCTGGGCTCAAGTGATCTGCCTGCCTCATCCTCTCAAAGTGCTGGGATTACAGGCATGAGCCACCGTGTTTGGCCCACATCAGTATTTATGTTGTTATAAATTTATGTATATGGAAAACCACCAGTTCACACCAATATGATTGATTCTAATCCAACTAGGATTCATTTCTAGTTTTCACTCTTTCTGTATTTATAACTTTCTTCTCTGAAAGTGGGAAACCTGGCTCCTGTCATCAGCAGGCTGTTTACTTACAGTTCAGTCCCCTTAGATAATCAACTTCCGATCTTGGCTGTCCCCCACTCCGTGGTGGGCACCCTTCTTCCTCTGTACAGCCTCTGGCACTCTACGGTCACCCTACGTGACCTCTGGCCCTCCCCCCACCTCCATGTTGACCCAGAGTGTGGCACCTTCCTCACTTGGCCTGGCCCTCCCTCTCCAACCCCCCATGTGCGGATGTCCTCGCCAGCCCGCCAGGGTGCTCCCCATGCCAGGCCAGCCCCTGCTCTTGTGTACTCCCTTGCCAGCCTTCCCACATTGGGGACAAACACTTTATTTTTAATTACATTTGGAACCCTTGATTTATTATGCTGTTACTGCTGGCAGAAAATATGTCCTACGGAAATTATTGATAACCATCCATGGTGAAAAGAAAGCCTCTATTTATGAATTAGGTGCTTGGAATCAACTTCTCATTTTTGGCAATCTCCTGGTTTGAGGGTTTAATGCAGCACTTGCTCGAGGAAGGCAACATTTTTGTTTTTAGGTAAAAGGATAATATGATTTCTTTCCCCCCAATTTATTTATGAGACATAGGCATTATCCAAGTTGTAACCCTGTATTTCTATTATTTCAGTTTTGGCTTGACTCATGAATTTAAGGCAAAGCAATTTTAATATTAGTATTAAGCTATAATTCATATTTCAGGATATGCTGCTCGTGATTTTCTTCCTTAGCAATTCTTCTAGACATATTTTCTTTGTGTGTGTGCATGTTTTTAAGACACCCTCATTAAAAAAAATGGTAGGTACATTTCAATCTCAAGACCAAAGATATTCTTGTTGATATGTTTCGCTGAATGCTTTGCTGTTCTTCAGTGAGTTATGTTCTGGAATGTCATCATTTATAATGAATTTCACTTACTCCTTGGGTCTCCATGCAGAGGCAGGAGCAAGGTCTGTTTCCCTAAAGGGAGAAGAACCTTGTTCCTAAATCAGAGTGGTGTGATTTCCAGGGACCCTGGTTGGGTCATGTTCCCCTTAAGGGGAACATGTGGGGCTGTCCTTCCCCCAGCTTGTTTATGTTTGTGGAAAGACTCACACTGGATTTGCTGAGGTCCAGAAAGCAGGAGAGAAAAGAGGCACTTCCCTGGCTCTTGTTCTTCCTCTGGGGAGCAGACTGTGCCTGGGGGAGGAGAAGGGGTTGACACCCCTGCTCGGTACAGCGGTTCCCATGCTGGGTCAGAAGCAGTGGGAGTCCCTGGCTCTGACAAGGGCCTTTCCACTTTCCCCAAATTCAGTCCTGACGCTGCCCTCCAGGAGGCTCCTGTGTGCTGACAAGCCGGGGAGGGGGGCGGCCATCCTGGGCAAGGCACCTCCGTGGGGTGGGAGCTGGGGGTGCAGTGATGCTGCGAATTGGCTCATAGCAAACAAGGAGAGGAGGTGAAGGATCAAGATGCAGTATGTTTAGGCTAACAGGGCAGGAATGGGAAGTACACGAGTGGTAATGAGAAGACTTTTATGTATGTTTTCAGTGAAACCAAGGGGAGAGAGACTGTGGAGAGCTTGTTACATGCCAGTGAGTCATTTGAAATAAGATTCCAGGAAAGAATTATGGAGAGGATCTAGACAAAATATATACAACTATAGAATACAAATGTAGTTTATAAATGATTCCAAGCATACCTTATGGGTAGATTATACAGGATGCAGCTTCATTCCAAAACTCCCCCTATAGTATCTGCCTGTGCTCCAAACTTGGACCCCATAATAAATTGTCATTTCTTTGTAGCTTAAGTCGTCCCTTTTTGATAAATGCTATTGGTAATACAACAGTTCATTGGTCTTGAAAACATAGTACATGGCTTGGTGGAGATTTTAGGGGCCATCATTTCTTAATCTGTTTTCTTAAGGTCTTAAACACCTTCAAGTTTCTTACTCGGTATTCATGTGTTCTCTGAGTTTGTGGGTAAACTGGTGATTCTTTATCTCTTAACATATCATTCCTCATGTTAATTGTTGGATGTCATTTGACTTAGGATGTTGAAAGCCAAAATAAAGCAGCGGGTCTGGAGCCTCAGGCCTTGGATGAGTTCACCAGTCTGCTGATTGCGGATGACACCCGTGTGGTGGTGGACCTGCTCAAGCTGTCGGTGTGCAGCCGGGCCGGGGACAGGGGCAGGGACGTGCTGTCTGCGGTGCTTTCCGGCATGGGGACTGCCTACCTGCAGGTGAGTCTCAGGGAGGGCCGGGCCATCTGACCCTACCTCCTCCACATGGTGCCAACCTCCTCTCCAAGGGAGAGCAGCTGTGGATCACCGGTAATCTTGTGCTGGGTTTCATCCTAGTAGACAGCAGGTTAGGAGCACTCCTTTAGGACAAAACGTTTTAGCATTTGCCCCAGTGACATCCTTTACCTGTTTTTTGTTGTTTGTTTTTTTGAGACGGAGTCTTGCTCTGTCGCCCAGACTGGAGTGCAGTGGCGCGATCTCGGCTCACTGCAAGCTCCGCTTCCCAGGTTCACGCCATTCTCCTGCCTCAGCCTCCTGAGTAGCTGGGACTACAGGCGCCCGCCACCACACCCACTAATTGTTTTTGTATTTTTAGTAGAGACGGGGTTTCACTGTGTTAGCCAGGATGGTCTTGATCTCCTGACCTCTTGATCCACCTGCCTCGGCCTCCCAAAGTGCTGGGATTACAGGCGTGAGCCATCGCACCTGGCCCCTTTACCTGTTTTACAACTGATTTGTGCATCTTTTTTTTTTTGTGACGGGGTCTTACTCTGTCACCCAGGCTGGAGTGCAGTGGCGCGATCTCGGCTCACTGCAAGCTCCGCTTCCCAGGTTCACACCATTCTCCTGCCTCAGCCTCCTGAGTAGCTGGGACTACAGGCCCCCGCCACCACGCCCGGCTAATTTTTTTTGTGTTTTTTAGTAGAGACGGGGTTTCACGGTGTTAGCCAGGATGGTCTCAATCTCCTGACCTCGTGATCCACCCGTCTCGGCCTCCCAAAGTGCTGGGATTACAGGCCCCCACCACCACGCCCGGCTAATTTTTTGTGTGTTTTTTAGTAGAGACGGGGGTTTCGCCGTCTTAGCCAGGATGGTCTCAATCTCCTGACCTCGTGATCCACCCGTCTTGGCCTCCCAAAGTGCTGGGATTACAGGCGTGAGCCACCACGCCCGGCCTGATTTGTGCATCTTTTAAAAAATGATTCATCAGAGTTCTTTAAGTCCCTTTTCTATCATGTGTCTTACAGTTTCCACCCCAGTTTATCTTTCATTATTAGTTTGATATTTTTTTGCCATGTAGATTTTTAATTATTACATGATCAAATCTGTCAGTTTTTTTCATTTATGCCTTCTGAGTTTTGTATTATGCTGAAAAAAAAAAAAATGCTCGCTTATCTGACATTGTTTTAAATAAATTCTTCCAAATTTTCTTCCAAGTTTTTTGAGACAGTTTCTCCTTCACCAGGGCTGGAGTGCGGTGGTGCGATCTCGGCCTCCCGGGATCACCTCTGCCTCCCGGGATCAAGTGATTCTTGTGCCTCAGCTCCCCGAGTGGCTGGGATTACAGGCGTGCTTCGACGCCTGGCTAATTTTTGTATTTTTAGTTGAGATAGGGTTTCACCATGTTGGCCCAGCTGGTCTCCAACTGCTAACCTCAAGTGATCTGTCCACCTCAGCCTTCCAAAGTGCTGGGATTACAGGCATGAGCCACCGCGCCCGGCCTTCTTCTAAGTTTTTTTTGATTTCATGTATTGTTTACATTTTTTAGGCACCTGGGATTTATTTTGATGTAAGAATAAAATAGGGATCCAACTTTATTTTTTTCCTAGATGATAAGCGTTGCCCTAACATCATTTATTGAACAATTCTTCTTTTCCCTGGTGATTTAAAAACCAGTTTTATCATATTCTAAATTCCTGTGTGCATTTGGGTCTATTTACAAAACTTTGTAGACTCTAATACTATGGTATTTTAACTATTATAGCTTTAAAATGTTTTTAATGTTTGGTAGCACTGGGTCCCTAGGACTTTGTCCCTGTGGAAATGTTCTGGACAGGAGCCATCTGGGACTGTTGGCACCAGCCACGTATGACATGAGCACTGAGATATGGCTAGTGCACCTGAGGAACCAAAGGGTTTAAAACACTCAACCTGAGGCACATGTGGCTAGTAGCTGTTGAACTGGTCTGTAGGTCTGCAGTATAAAGTGAGTATCTTATTACTATGTCTTAGAAATAGGCCTGATCAGTCCTAAAGGCCGTGGGCTTCCTTAAGAACACAATCAGCAGCCGTGCTCTGCCCTGCCAGGGAGCCTGAGATGTCCTTCCTGGCTACAGATACTTCATCCCTTTCTCTGGGTGGCTACTTTGTGTGGAGGAAAGTCTTACTCTGTCACTTAGTTTAGGCAGTTTCTGTGCCTATTATGATTTTTGGCTTTAGTTAGAAGAATATTCTCTTTAAAGGAACTTCTAAAGTTTTTAAGTAGAATTAGATTTTTTTAAAAAATCATTAAATGCAAGTTCATAGTCCTTTATCTACAATTCTGGAACGTTAAAGCTTCTGATAGTCAGAAATTTTAGTAACTTACATGATCACCAAAATGATAAAGCACTTAAGTAGAGCTGAGCAGTCTTGAAAGCACAGCAAAGGTTTGGTAGATATTTTAGGGGCTTGTTATTTCTTCATCTGCTATTCATGAAGAACTAAAAAGCTATAGGTTCCCTTTTTTCTAGTTTTTTGAGATGAGTTACTTGGCATAATTCTAAGAGATGAAATCGAGGTGAATTGCCATAAGCACTGTTATTTTTTTTCATAAGCTTATTGCATTTGTGAGAGGGAAGGGTATGAATGAGAACTTGAATTTAAAATAATTCTGAGCCTTTGCCATGCACATCCTGCATTCTCAGTACAGAGGGTAGGGGTTACCTTTATATATGAATGAGGAAACTGAGGCTGAGAGGTTGTTACGGCTTGAGGACACTCACTTTGCTGGTAGGTGGAAGAGATGGGTTGGAACCCTGAGTGCTCTGAGCACCAGCTCTGTCATGACCCCTCTGCAGATGATGCCTTTGGCAGAGCAGCCTTTGAAGGCCAGAGCCCCTGGTCAGCTCTGCACACGGGCGCTTGATGATGCCGACATCTGCTTTCAGTAACTCAACCAGGTTCCAGGAGAGACAGGAATAAGGATATGGCCGTTTTCATACTGCCCTTGCCAGGTTGGCAAGATGGCTATTTCTGTGTTCTGCCCTAACCTGATATTTGGGATTCAGAGAGAGAAATTTAGATTTTAAATCATGCCTATATGACAGTGGTATTAGTTTGTTATTAATATATAATAATATGTTTACTAAGCAAAGCTATTTCTTACCTACATATGAGGAAAAATAGAAAAAAGAATAATCTATTTCTAAAAAGTATAGAATGGGCATTAGAAGAGTTTTATTTTTTTCTGGATTAAAAATTTTGGGGTTAATAGATTATTGCTATTATGACATATTCTCTCATTTATTTTTAGAAATAACAGAGGTTATAATCACCACTCTTTTTTTTTTGAGACGGAGTCTCGCTCTGCCGCCCAGGCTGGAGTGCAGTGGCCGGATCTCAGCTCACTGCAAGCTCCGCCTCCTGGGTTTACGCCATTCTCCTGGCTCAGCCTCCCGAGTAGCTGGGACTACAGGCGCCCGCCACCTCGCCCGGCTAGTTTTTTGTATTTTTAGTAGAGACGGGGTTTCACCTGTTAGACAGGATGGTCTCGATCTCCTGACCTCGTGATCCGCCCGTCTCGGCCTCCCAAAGTGCTGGAATTACAGGCTTCAGCCACTGCGCCCGGCCATAATCACCACTCTTAACCTTAATTGTAAAAGGTTACAATTGGTGATTGTGAATCACCAATGATTTTTAAAATAAAATAAGAACACTGTGGATTGTTGAGAATGTGGCGTGGGTCTGACCCCTAGTGTACTGGGTCAGGAAGGGCAGCCGTGTTGGGGTCGGTGATCCCTCCTGTCACAGACTCTCTGTCTGGCCTGGGCGGCTTGATGGTTCCTGATTCGTGCCCCTCCCACCGGGCTCCGTTGCCTTCTGGGATTGTGGTCATTTTCACCTACTGGGTGCTCCTTCCCTTGATAGTTTTGTTTCCAAGGCCAACTTTCCTCACTAGGAAGTGATCGTGTCTTGGTGTGAAATGAAGCCGTTGTTAGCACGGTGTTTCATCTGATCAGCTGGCACATGTTAAGTGTTGTGTGTGTTGGGAGCCTTCCAACTACTTTTTTTTTCTTTTCTTTTCTTTCTTTTTTTTTTTTTTGATACAGAGCCTCTCTCTGTCCATCAGGCTGGAGTGCAGCGGCGCATTCTTAGCTCTGCAACCTTCACCTCCTGAGTTCAGGCGATTCTCCTGTCTCAGCCTCCTGAGTAGCTGGGACTACAGGCATTTTTAGTTTGTATTTTTAGTAGAGGTGGGGTTTCACCATATTGGCCAGGCTGGTCTCGAACTCCTCATCTCAAGTGATCTGCCTGCCTCAGCCTCCTGAAATGCTTGTATTACAGGCATGAGCCACTGCACTGCACCCAATGACTTTTTTTTTTTTTTTGAGACACAGTCTTGCTTGGGTCACCCAGGCTGGGGTGCAATGGTGCGATCTCGGCTCACCACAACCTCCGCCTCCCGGGTTCAAGCGATTCTCCTGCCTCAGCCTCCTGAGTAGCCAGGATTACAGACGTGCGCCACCATGCCTGGCTAATTTTGTATTTTTAGTAAAGATGGGTTTTTTCCGTGTTGGCCAGGCTGGTCTTGAACTCCCGACCTCAGGTGGTCTGCCTGCCTCGGCCTCCCAAAGTGCTGGGATTACAGGCATGAGCCACCAGGCCTGGCCCCAACGACTTTTTAATATAGATCATCTCTAAGCTTCACAGCACCTTTCAAGCTCTGTGCTGTCTCTGTTTTATGTGCAAGGAAGCCAAGCCCTGATTTGAACTCAATTTCTCAAACTCCAAGCCCTCCAATCTGCCACCGTGTCCTTGTGGAGCTCTGGAGCAGGACGGACAGAGGTGGCATGCAGGTGACCAGGTGTGGAATTGTCGGCCTCTTTGTTCATGTCCTTGCTTCCTCTCCAGGTGGCAGATATGCTGTTGGAGCTCTGCGTCACCGAGTTGGAGGACGTGGCCACAGACTCGCAGAGCGGCCGTCTCTCTTCTCAGCCTGTGGTGGTGGAGAGCAGCCACCCTTACACCGACGACACCTCCACCAGCGGCACCGTGAAGATACCAGGTACGGGGCCGGCCCCAGGGAGGAGCTGCAGCGTTTCCACCTTCAGAACGGTGTGATTCTCCAATTGCTTCAGTAGAAACAGCCGTCTCCGTTTTATAAAAAGAAGATACAGAATTGCTTCAGAATCACTTTTCTCCCCTTTTCTAAGAAACTTCTTTTGCACAATAAATCATACAGAAAGTCACACAAAGTAAATGTTTAGCGTCATGATAATCAGGCAGACGCCCTAGTCATCATGACCCAGGTCTAGACGTAACCTGTGGCAGATTCCGGAAGCCCTCAGCCTGTCCCCTGACGTCCCTCTGAGTGATGCTGTCCTGACGTTGAGCCATCACTGACTTGCATTTCTGGACAGCTTCTGTTATCCGTGTGTGTATCTTTCTTTTCTTTTTAACAACTCAAGAAAAATTATTAAGAAAATTGTTGAGGCCCTGGCCTTTGATCCAGCAGACTTCCCTGCAGCCTGAATTTGCTGACTGGACACGCGTGCTGCTGTTCAGTGTGTTCCTCAGGCCCGTCCTTCTGCAAGGTGCTGCCTGATTCGGAGGCCCATAAGTTCCGCCCCTTTCGCCAGCTCCTTAGTGGCTGTGACTCAGCCCCCGCAGGCCCCTCCTACCTGCCTGTGTTTCTTTTGTGACATCAGCAGCCCCTGGGGCTTATTAGCACCTGAGGCCGTTGGCCCACGACGGGCTACAAATGGTACTATTCTGGTGGAATCATCTCTTGCTTATTTATTAGCTGGAATACTTTCTTATAAAGAGACATTTCCCCTCATCCTATAGTTGGTTGCCCAAGGTGCTGTTTGCCTGAGAAAGACAAAAGCTTGATTCTTCCTTCCGTTGACCAGAGAATGAATTGGTTTCCTGTCATTTCTTGAAGGTGACCTTTTTTTTTTTTAAATATTATTATGAACTCATGGATTGAAACATATGTGATCGTTTTACTTTATTGTGATTATCTTTGTTAAAGCTGAGATTATCCTGTTTCTAGACAGTGGCAGCCTCTTCAGTGTGGCACCTGAAGTGATTCCGGTGGTCTTTGGTCGCGTCCAGGCAGTCTAAACATGGTGACCTTGGTTTTTTGTAGGTTGCCACTCTTCTTCACCTGGGATCTGCCCTGGATTCTTTTGAGTTCGTACTGATACTTAAAAATGTTTTCCTTTTATTTATTTTTTATATTTTATTTATGTATTTATTTGTTTAGAAACAGAATCTTGCTCTGTCACCCAGGCTGGAGTGCAGAGTGCGGTTATAGCTCACTGTAGCCTCGAATTCCCGGGCTCAACTGATCCTCCTGCCTCAGCCTCCTGAGTAGCTAGGAGTACAGGTGCGTGCCACCTCGCCTGGCTAATGTGCTGATTCCTTCTACTCAAATTCAAAAGTACAAGGTCTGTACTTCTGTTACATCTGCCTCTCTTTTCTTCCATATTGAATCCTGGTTCCAAGATACTGTTTGATAAAATATCTCGTGATTTTTCATTTGCTTTACGTAACCACATTGCATATATGACAGACTTAGGATATAATTTCAATACTGCCAACATCAGTATAATTACTGAAATTCTTAAAAATCTTAGAATATGCCCTAATTTCCTCAAATTTATTAAAATGATTATACTGCATCTACAAGAGCATAATAGCTGTTACGTACCATACTTTCTTTCAGTCTTCAAGTCTTAGTTTTACTGACTGGTCCTTGTGGGGTCTGAAGTGCACTCTACTGAATTCCTCATTAGCCCCTGAGGTCAGACTTGTCCACGAGAGTTTTTGTCCTTTGAATTTGAAAGGTAGTTTTTCTGGGTGTTAAAGCCTTGGGTCACGTCTTTTTCCTCTGTGAAAATGTGAAAATGATAACATCTTTTCCCCTTAGAAGTCACGTGTGTTCTTTCAGTCATTTTATTAGAATGTACGTTCGTGTGGCTGTTCTTGGCGACGTTCTCGATTAGACGCCATGTGTGTTTTCTCGGTAATTCTACTAGAACGTACATTCATGTGGCCGTTCTCGGTGATGTTCTGGGTTAGAAGCTGCGTGTGTTTTCTCGGTAATTCTACTAGAAGGTGCGTTCGTGTGGCTGTTCTTGGCGATGTTCTCAGTTAGAAGTCACGTGTGTTTTCTCGGTAATTTTACTAGAACGTGCGTTCGTGTGGCCGTTCTGGTAAAAAGCCGCTTGTGTTTTCTTGTTAATTTTACTAGAATGTGCATTTGTGTGGCCGTTGTCGGCGATGTTCTTGGTTAGCAGCCGCGTGTGCTTTCTTGGTAATTTTACTAGAATGTGCGTTTGTGTGGCCGTTCTCGGCGATGTTCTCGGTTAGAAGCCGCACATGTTTTCTTGGTAATTTTACTAGAATGTGCTTTCTTGTGGCCGTTCTGTACTAGAATGGGTGTTTGTGTGACCATTCTTGGTGATGTTCTCGGTTAGAAGTCACAGTGGCTATTCTCAGCGATGTTCTTGAGAAATCGTGTGTGCTTTTTCGGTAATTTTACTAGAATTCGTTCATGTGGCCGTTCTTGGCGACGTTCCTGGTTAGAAGTTGCATGTGTTTTTTTGGTAATTTTACTAGAATGTGCGTTCATGTGGCCATTCTCGGTGACGTTCCCGGTTAGAAGTTGCCTGTGTTTTTTTTGGTAATTTTACTAGAATATGCATTCGTGTGGCCATTCTCGGCGATGTTCCTAGTTAGAAGTTGTGTGTGTTTTTTCGGTAATTTTACTAGAATGTTTGTTTGTGTGGCCGTGTGTTTTTTCAGTAATTTTACTAGAATGTGCATTAGTGTGGCCGTTCTCGGTGATGTTCCCAGTTAGAAGTCTTGTGAGTTTTTTTGGTAATTTTACTAGAATGTGCATTAGTGTGGCCGTTCTCGGTGATGTTCCCAGTTAGAAGTCTTGTGAGTTTTTTCGGTAATTTTACTAGAATGTGCGTTTGTCGCATGTTCTCGGTGATGTTCCTGGTGAGAAGCTGCATGTGTTTTCTCGGTGATTTTACTAGAATGTGCGTCCGTGCAGCCGTTCTCGGCGATGTTCTTGGTTAGAAGCTGTGTGTGTTTTCTTGGTGATTTTACTAGAATGTGTGTCCGCACGGCCATTCTTGGTGTTCTCTGTGAGAAGCCGTGTGTGTTTTTTCGGTGATTTTACTAGAATGTGCCTTCGTGCGGCCGTTCTCGGTGATGTTCTCGGGTAAGTGGTGCTCCTTTAGTCTGTTGTCCCAAGTCTGTTTTGCAATTCTCTTGAATTGCAATCTGCAGTGTTTGTTCTGTAACCTTGCTTAGCAGTCTTTTCTAGGGACACTTGGTCCCTAGAAAACTATCCATGCATTGGATAGTTTATGACTTTTAGAGTTAATGTTGGTTACTTTCTCTTTCAAGTACCTTTTACCTCTGTTTCTTTTTAAACAAGTTTCTCCTTTTTTCCTATTTGTCTTAAGGTAACATCTGCTGTATTTATTTTACACTCTGTTTTAGTCTCCATTGGAATGTAGTTTTGTTTTCATTGTAATTCTGTCTTCAGCTTTATTTAATTTTTTTGGTTTTCCTGTCTGATTTATGTGGTTCTTTCATGTCTTGTATCATTTTTCTAATTTCACTCTATTTGTTTTGAAATGATCAGGATTGATGTGTTTTGTGGACATATCTTTCTGGCCTGCTTTTATTGCCTATAGGGATGTTATTTTGTTCCTTATTCTCGCTGTTTTTTTTCTGGAGACAGAGTCTTGCTCTGACACCCAGGCTGCAGTGCAGTGGCATGATTCTGACTCACTGCAGCCTCGACCTCCCAGGCTCAAGCCATCCTTCCCCATCAGCCTTCTGAGAAGCTGGGACTACAGGCTTGTGCCACCACGCATGGTTAACTTATTTTTATTTTTCGTGGAGATGAGTCTCTCTGTGTTGCCCAGTCTTGTCTCAAACTCCTGGGCTCAAGTGATTCTCCCAGCTGGGCCTCCCAAAGTGTTGAGAATTACAGGTGTGAGCCACCGTGCCCAGCCTATTCCCTTTTTCTTACAATAACTTTTTATTGTATTTGGTCTTATACTTTTATCTTGCTCATTTTTATGTGAAATAATTTTTCTTGAACTTTTAGAATGAGGTGAGATTCAGAAAAGCTTTGTCACTTTGTCGCCCAGGGTGGGGTACAGTGGTACGATCTTGGCTCACTATAGCCCCAACCTCTGGACTCAAGCGATCCCCCTTCCTTAGCCTCCTCAGTAACTGGGACTATAGGCCGTGTCCAGCTAATTTTAAAAATTTTATATAGAGAAAGGATTTCACCATGTTGTCCAGGCCTGTCTTGAACTCCTGAGCTCAAGCAAGCTGGCTGCCTTGGTCTCCCAAAGTGCTGGGATTATAGGCGTGTACCACTGCCTCTGGCCCAGAAAAGCGTTTTTAAACTTTAAGTATTACTTCATGATGGAAATTTAAAGAACAAAGGATATTCCTAGTCAACATTTGCCTAGACGAAAATCTTGTGACCCTTTTTCTTTCTGTTTCTCTCTCACTTTATATCCAGTCCACCAACAAATCCTGTTTTCTCTGCTTTTTAAAATATATTCCAAATTCACCCATTTCTCCCTCACTCTAGACATTCTGGGCTAGAGCACCGTGGGGTCTCACCTGGTTATCATCCCAGCAGTCACATCCTAGCTGCCTCCCTGTATTCCTGCTACCACTCCCCACCTCCTGTGGTCTCCCCAGAATCAGGCCCCAACAGAGCATCCAGAGATAGTGTTTTAAAACCAGTCCAAGCCTCTCAACCCTGTAACCGTAGGAGGGAACCTGAGCCCCTGCTCCACATCTTTCCTCCTTCCTTCCTTCCCCGCCTACCTCTTTCCTGGCCCCTCACTGCCATCCTCTGCTAGACCTTAAAGGTCTTCCAGCCTGAAGGAAAACTCTTGTACCTCTGCTTGCACACCTCTCACACCCGACATGCGTGTTCTCCACACCAAGCAATCCTCAAGTTCTCTGGACAAGCCAGGAGTTGAGGTGCTCCTCACTCCCCAGGTGACCCACAACTGCCGTCTGACTGGGCTGCACTTTGGGCATTCCCGCAGCCCCTGGTCAGTGTGAGGTTCGCTGTAAAGCTTGATCGGGGAGTGGGGTTGCAGTGGGAAAGTCTGCCCAGGAGTGACAGCACAAAACAAATTGGCCAAGTGGAAGTGTTTTCTGGCCTTGCAGTCCACAGACATAATCTTCAGTGGGGATGAGCTGGGGAAAGGGGCGGTCAGTCTGAGATGCTTGTATTTGAGGCCAGTTCTTTCTGACTTTCTGCTGTTCATTCACTGTTAAACGTGGTTTTAGTTTCACTGTTTCTCCTTGGTGCACTGTTTCTACTTTGGGTGCTGATCTGAAGTGGTTGCTGTGTTTTGTGTTCTGTCCTCCAGGTGCAGAAGGACTCAGGGTGGAATTTGACCGGCAGTGCTCCACGGAGAGGCGCCACGACCCTCTCACAATCATGGACGGCGTCAACAGGATCGTCTCCGTGCGGTCAGGTAAGGACAGGAGGTTGAGGCAGGATTGTCTCCGTGCGGTCAGGTAAGGACAGGAGGTTGAGGCAGGATTGTCTCCGTG